ATGCATAAAATATAATATGTATATATAAAATATACATAAAATATTCTTTCTTATCAAATGTTCAATTTCCCTCCATAGATATTAGGATTGATAAGCCGTCTATCTGAGATAGGCTTGAGATTAAAAAGATTGGTTTGCACTGGTGTACAAGAATGAGTTCTATGAATATATTTTTATACCTCCCACCATAGTAACTCCTCGAAATATACATTTTAGACCCCACTAAGTATATATTATTAATCAGCATACAATTCTATGCCGATTTTGTGACGTCCGTCCGTCGATCTGTCTGTCGAAATCACTCTAGCTTAGAAGTGGGTTGATACAATTTTGCTCAAATGTACATATCTGGGATATCTGAAAATGGGCCATGTAGGTCCACGTTTTGGTATAGCCCCCATATAATGGTACCTCCCTATTTTCGGTATTTTGATTATTTAAGCGACATTATTCACCGGAAATGTTTCAAATTTAATATTTGAAGTTCGTAATGAATACTACAGCCTAAGACAGAAAATTGTCTGTGCAGGTCCACGTCTTCGTGCAGCTCCCATGGAACGATACCTCCCTATATTCGGGTTTTTATGATTTTAGGCACATTTTTCAATGGAATTGTCTGAAATTCTACACAAGGACTTGGTTGTGGGTGCTTTACTACCTGGAAGAGAATTTTCACCGATTTTCAAGTTTCGCATTTGAATATTGTAATGGCTTGTGACAAAAGTTGCCTATGCAGGTCCACGGGTATTTTTAAGATTGTAACATAATTTTTTAAGGATTATTATTTATTATTATTATTATTATTATTATTATTATTATTATTATTATTATTATTATTATTATTATTATTATTATTATTATTATTATTATTATTATTATTATTATTATTATTATTATTATTATTATTATTATTATTATTATTATTATTATTATTATTATTATTATTATTATTATTATTATTATTATTATTATTATTATTATTATTATTATTATTATTATTATTATTATTATTATTATTATTATTATTATTATTATTATTATTATTATTATTATTATATTATTATTATTATTATTATTATTATTATTATTATTATTATTATTATTATTATTATTATTATTATTATTATTATTATTATTATTATTATTATTATTATTATTATATTATTATTATTATTATTATTATTATTATTATTATTATTATATTATTATTATTATTATTATTATTATTATTATTATTATTATTATTATTATTATTATTATTATTATTATTATTATTATTATTATTATTATTATTATTATTATTATTATATTATTATTATTATTATTATTATTATTATTATTATTATTATTATTATTATTATTATTATTATTATTATTATTATTGTTATTATTATTATTATTATTATTACTATTATTATTATTATTATTATTTTTTTTTTGTTTTTTGAAAAATGTCAAATTCGTTCCAAATGGTTTATTTTAAAAAATTAAAAGTTTTGTGTGTAGTAGCTGGTTAATACCTAAAATGGAATTTTGATGATTTCAGTGGCGAAATGAACCTCGAACCAATTCTTGATTATTTCTTTTTATATTATTTCGATTTTTTGATTTGTTACTTCAAACTTCAGTTGCACTGCGGAATACTCTCCATTTCGAACTCAATACATCTATATCTAGAATTAGAATGAGAGTCACTGATGAAATTTAGATTAGATGTACCAATGTGCTTTATAAATTCGAACTTTATTTTTACGAAAAGTTTTAAATTGGTACAATTAGGGTTTAATGTGAATGGATAGAACTAAAAACTCGAAATTTAGTATGATCAATCGAGTTTGGAAAATAAGTTTGATATGTGAAAGTGGAAATTTGGAACAATTTGGCTTAGGGTAAACGGATGAATCTGGACTTTCAAAATGTTGTATTGGAGTCCCTTTTGGTGGTAGACTTGTGATAAAGAAGTGGGTCTCGAAATGTGTGCCAAAAGTGCACTAAAAGTACGAAATAGTATTATATTTGATACAGTTTGGTATTGGTATAAGGGTCGTGGTTCATGTAAAATCTGGACATATGGAGGAGATTTCGGAACTGTGAACAACTAAAATTGTACGAAAAGTACTGAATGTATTTCTGAAAGTATTTTTGGTTTTGGGTGAAGGTATAGGGAAATACAATTTTGAAATTTAATACTCATACCTGTGTTTGTGTTTTAGCGGATGTTTGGAAATGCGTCCCATATTCGTACGAAAGGTATTAAAGTGTACTAAAATTGGTATTGGAGTGGTATGGAGGTGATTTTGGAAATGTGTTCTATAATTGTACGGAAAGTACTAAATATTACAAAAGTTAGTATTGGGTGAAAGAATAGAGCTGCAATCCTGAAATTCGATATTGATGTCACTGTTGGTGTCTATGGTTAAGATATGGAGGTTGTATTGGAAATGTGTACTATAATCGTCGAAATAGTACTAAGTGGTACTAAATTGGGTGAAGGAATGGAGCTGGAATCCCGAAATTTGATATTGACGTCTCTGTTGTTGTCTGGGATTGAGTTAGGGAGGTGGTTTTGCAATTAGTACAAAAGATACTACATTTGGTATTGGGTGAAGGAATAGAACTGAAATTCTGTAACTTGATATTGAGGTCACTGTTGGTCTTCAAGGTTAACATATGTAGACGTTGAAATAGTCTTACAAAGAACAATTGGATGAGGATCCATTGTGCAATGATTTTATTAATATCCTCCTCGGTAAACTTCTAAACGAAGGATTTTGAAGACTATTTGGTATTAAAGGTGAAAATTTACCTTTCTTTTCGGAAAACGGAAAAACTTGAATAATTTATAAAACCTTGAAAGTCTGAAAATGTATTACGATGTATGAAGTTTTGATTCAAAGATTTTGTCAAACTAAACAAATTGTCCATTTTGAGTACTAAGAAGTGAAAAAGCAGTATAGTTTGCCCACCACCATTTGGAAGAAATTTGCAAGAAGAAGAATTTACAAAAAATACAGAATATAGGGAGTTATTGTTATATTGGAGCCTTTACGAAGAAGTCTCCATCAAGGAGGTACGGTTATATGGGGGCTATACGAAGACATGGACCTGCATATGCAATTTTGTGTACCCATTAGTAACATAAAATACGAAATTTGAAACTATTCCAGTGATTAATGTCGCTCAATTGGGAGGGTTCTCTTATATGGGGGGTATACGAAGGCCTGCAATTTTCTGTCTAAGACTATAGATCCATCAAAAACATAAAATATGAAATTTTTTTTTTATATAGGAACTATACGCAAACCTAAGCCTATACAGGGTGAGATAAAAAAACTGCAACCAACTTCAGACTGCTTTCATTTCTAAGCCACTCGTCCGACAACTGTTAAATTTATTCCAGCGACTGCTCATTATATTGTTTACAGGCGTACAAAAGCATTTTGGTGACAATTTTCCAGAAAAAAAGTTATTTGTGATGGAATTCAAGCGCGATAGTGTGATTTTTTTTATTTGTATATTTCTTTTTGGAAAACCACAAGTGGCTATCGTTAGAGCACCCAGCATTTAAATATGAACAAATTTTTTGTGTCTCGTACCATCGCTCCTTACCGTGCTACCAATCATAGCCCGACGTTAAGGAAGTGGACGGAAGAAAACGGCAACATCAGCAGAAATTATTCGAAAAGTTAAAAAGCGACTTGATCGAAGCGCGCGTCGGAGTGGCCGAAAAATGGCTCGTGAGCTGAACATATCGCAATATTCCATTCGGCAAATATTGAAATATGAGCTCGGGGTAAAGCCATTGAAATTCCAAAAAGTGCAAGTAGTTACACCGCAACGGAAAGAAAAGGGACTCAAAAGAGCTAAAGAGTTGCTTCGCTTGGCCGAAAGTGGTGAACTGCCGAATTTCGTTTACTCCGATGAGAATACATTCGTTGTCCAGCAGTTGGTAAACAAACAAAATTATGGTGTTTACTCGCCAAAGAGGTCAGCTGAAAATGTGCACCTTCGGTTGGCCACCAGAACTCAAGCGCCGGTCATATTAATGATATGGGCTGCCATAATAGCCGATGGTCGCTCTCCGCTCGTACTAATCGACCGTGGCATCAGAATAAATGCCGAATATTATCGCGAAAATATTCTGGAGGGTGTATAAAAGCCTTGGGCACACAAACGTTTTGCACTATCGCACTCAGCACGCGCCACCCAAGAATGGTTATAAAATGGAGTTCCTAATATCATTTCCAACGCACAATGGCCACCAAATTTCCCGGATACCAATCTGTTGGACTATTGCGTCTGGAGTATTTGGAAAGCAAGGTTGGCACTAAAAAATACCCGAGTGTCGAACCAATACCAAATTCGAACAAATATAAACTTATTCTAAAATTTGATGCTATTTCGGAAATTTTTTGCTTTCTATCAATAAAATTTAAAAAAAAAAAATAAATAAAAATTATGGCGTTTGAACTTATTCTAAAATTTGATGCTATTTCGGAAATTTTTTGCTTTCTATCAATAAAATTTAAAAAAAAAAATAAATAAAAATTATGGCGTTTGACTTTGTTGCAGTTTTTTTACCTCACACTGTATTAACAGTTCTATAAAAGTATGCTTCTTACATAATAGGAATCCATGCTTCCGAATATCAGCAAATTCGGGTTAAAATTGTGACTTAAACTCAACAAAAAACTTAAATCTGTCGGTCCAGTAACATGAGGGCAATATAAATTACCAAAAGTACTGCAGACCTAACACACACATGAGTAAATCAACCTATTTCATTTCGTTCGGAAGCTAGAGTGATTTTCAGAGACGGACGGACATCTAATTTTATTTTTTTTTTATTTTACGCTGATCAAAAATATATATATACTTTGTGGGGTCTAAAATTTTTATTTCGATATTTCTTTGGCAGTATGCTCCAATGAAATTACATTTTTTAATTCAATCACTCTTTCTGTCTAATAGTTATCAAAAATTAAAAAAACGCCCCTAGCTGAAATTAATTGTTTAATTTATTATACACAATAAACATTTATTTTCATTTTACAAAGGTTTTATTTTTTCTGTTTTTTATTAATAAGAGAAATTTTCGAACATACAGTAGACCTTTTATAAAGATCACAAATAAAATCGATATTTTTAATAATACGTGGTATTTAATAATAGATATATGAATTAGAACGCCAAAAATCAATTTTACCGTTTTAGAACATTGAGTTAACACAAATTAAGCAGGAAAAATTAAAATTTATATAAATGTTGTATATAAGATCGCGATAGCTAATCTAACAAAAGATTAACTTGGTGGCTGGGCAGTAGAAAAATAAAATTCTCTGAAAATTAGAAGAAAAAATGGAACGAATAGGATAATGTTCGGTGTTACGTAGGTAACAAAATTATTGTGAAACTAGTTCCTTCAGTTGGTATATTCCGAATTAATTATAAAAATAGTTAAGAGGAAAACAATAATCGCAGCTTATTCTTGTTTTTTTTTTTTCTTATACAATTGATAACACAACGAATATGTTTTAATGCATTCTTGTTAAATCTTCAACAATTTTTATAACATCGTCAACGTCAGCCTCTTTTTTCTCGCCATTCATTGTTATCTAAAATTAAATAAGGAAACAATTATCAACATGTATTGCTACATTTTTGTTTTTATTTTCATATTTTACCTCCAGACCCTGAACACATTCCTTCATTTTGTCACGGCTTAAATCGAGAAAACTTTCAATTAGATCACCATCAATGAAACCCTCACACAGTTCGGTTTTTTGTGGTGTTTGATAACTGCGATAATATGAGTGATCTATTTTGCCCACTGACTTGATGACGTTTGTCAAACGATCCTCCAAGCTGTGGAGGAATTCATAGAAGTCTTGGGGTATTTGTGTTACAATACCAATGGCACCCATAACAGTACCATAAAGTACGCATCCTTGATTTGGTGTAGTACGTTCGCCGACATATTGCATTACCAATGAATCGTGGCGGAAAACATTTACAAAATCTCCCAAGTGGAAACGACCAACTTCTGGCAGTTCTGAGCGTAGTTCATCGGTTGTGGCAGCACTAAAGCAATAAGGTACAATTTGTTTTAATTAAATACAATCACAATGTAGTACATCACTAACATACCTATCTTTCTGGCACACGAATAAATTCCCATTATCCTCGGAACCCAAAAAGGTATCATCGTCCAATATTTCAATAGCTCTCATAAACTTGGGATCACTATCTCGAGCTATGTCTATGAAAATACCTTCCATCTGTTTGTGCTGAAGCAAAGTCATGGAGCGCATAAGATCTCCAATGAGTATAAAATCACCTGAAATAAAGGAAATTATTATATTCTACACATATATGTCAAGTGTTATATTATGTGACATGACATAACATACCCTTGGCTTTCAAACATAACACAGTTATATTTTTCTGTATATTACATTCCATACGCAATTCTTTTTCATTGGTCCATTCATAGAGTCTCACAAAACTATTTATACCGGCCAAAACTTTGCCATTAAACTCAACCATCGAATAACATCCACCATCAATTTTTGTCTCAGCCACCTGTGTCAATTTACCATCATGATAATGGAATATTATAATTCGACCAACACTCGGCTCGGGTTCATCAGCATACAGCAATGCTGTGGACACAACATAATATGAATTAGGATCATCTCCCAGTTGGGCAGACATAATGGCCATGATAGACTCTGAAGGCATAAACTGATGAGCGTGCAGAACTTCGAAGGTATTTTGATCGATAATCAACAAATTGCTAATATCCAATTCTTGACCAATTTCAGCATTAGTTGTAGAGGTACTGCCTGCTCCTGGTTTCGGTACAATATTCGAAGCATATGTGATATTTTGTGCCTGAGTCGAAGCACTAGCCTTTGTCGGTTTTGGTCCTCCTCTACCCTGTACATCAATTCGCATTGTGGCTACAGCAAATGTCTGTGAACTTTCTTGGTATGCAATTCGGCGTGGACCTTCACCCAATGGTACAGTACGAATATGCAATTTTTGGATTTCATCAATTGTTCCAATTATAACCGAGTTTTTAGTGGCCAATGCCAAACTATCCGGATAAGCCTGAGCATTTAGGTAGCACATATGGTTCACTTCTTTGAGATTAACATTTGAAAATACCAACTTATGATTGGACGAATAGATGACAGTTGGCCTATCGGAACATGCAAAAACATTTGTGGTGGACAAAGATTTGAAAGTCCTCAGTGTTGTTGGCTGAGTACCCAAGGTAACACGCTTCTTATCACTCAGGCTGCCACGTTCGTCGTTCATTGTAAAATAAAACATAGAGCCATCGCCCAAGGCACACAGTAAATAGTGGATGCCCTCAAAAGTTGTCATTAAAATGGAACGTGGTATAATTTCACCGCCCAACTTTTCCGTGTGGCAAATTTCTAATTGTGGAAGTGTTAAGACCACCGCAGATATATCCGTCCACAGACCAACAGCCAAAAGTTTGGCTCGCGTGTTGCCCTCACCTAAAGGTGTTATGTCCAAACATGCTACCTCATATTCGAGAGTTTTCTGGGCAACTTGCACAAGTTTTTCATCTTCAATTTCCAAGTAGTATACATCTCTTGCCGAAGCAATAACTATTTGCTGCGTATTACAGCTAACAACACCTATACGTTTGCCTGCGGGTGGTTCCCATTCATAAACTAAATTCTTGGTGGTGCTCTTAATAAGACGTACGGTCAAGGGCGTTAATTGTATGATCTGAAAAACGAGTTAAAAAGAAAAGCTCGTGAAGAAACCATTGTTATTGATGCATTACCTGTTCATGATCAACATTAGCACAATGAAACGTTTGTTGATCACTGAGAAAACCGGCTATATCTGTTTCCTCCACCTCTTCTCCGGTCAATGTTAGAATACGTGTATGTCCCACAAATGCCAGAACCAGTGTGTTTTCATAGTTACTATCATCAATGCCGACTTTCAAAGACCACATACCCTTGATGCCGGGCAAATCAATACAGGCATGTTCCTGAATACCAATGCCAATTCTAAATAAAAAGTAAGGAAATTAAAGGGGAAATAACTTAGGCATTTTCATCTACCTTATAATTCTCAGCGAACCATCTCGGAAAGTTCCGGAACATGTAATAATTTGACCTTGACCTTGGCGATCTAAATCAACCACAGCCAAATCTAAGATGGGTGCTAAATTTGTAAAATTCTCCATTGGTATAACATAAGAACCGTTTTCATTTGGCGTGGTACTCAAACGTACCAGTTGCGAATCTCCATGCTTAGAGCCAATAAATAGAAAACCATTGTCTAGGTATGTAATACATTCAGGGGTAGAAATTTCACCTGTAATTATAAAAAATTGATCAAGATAAGTTTTGTATTCAAGATACTACAAAGGTATTAAAATGGAATCGATATATGAATCGAACTAGATCAGTGTATTGTTGTTGTATTTGATATTTGTTTTACTTGTATCTAGGTTGGTATTACATATATATTTGTATTCTTACCCAGCAATTCCACTTTAATTTCCTTTACAGAGGAACAGCCTTTGCCGTTGTCAGCCGTTTCCAAGAACAGCATAAACAATTGTCCATACATATTTCCCAGCAAATAACGTTGTCCTTTACTATCTACTCGAGCATAACAATTGATAGTACTTTGCTAAAGAAACAAAAAAAAAGTTAATAAATCTTTCATTTTTTTCTTTAGGATTAAATACCTTAAATGTAGAAGGTGCCACAGCAAGGTAACTATTTCCATCATGATACACTATTGATTCTCGTCCAATTACTATAGCTCCACCTAAATTGTTGGATCGATTACAATCATATGTTTTAAAGTTTAAATAAAATGTATAACTTACCCAATGGTGTAGGTACTGGTATTAGCATGGTAGCCTCCGTTTCGACATTATCTTGTTTCCAGGCAATTTTCATAAATTCCTTGTCCCGCAAGTTAATTTCATGTGTCTTAACATGACGCCCATCGTTGTCCTTGTGTATGACAATTATGGTTGGATTGATGCAGCCATAAAGGAACTCAACATCATAAACATTTAATTCATCCATTCTAAAAAATATGTAATAGTAATAACCCATTAGAATTGTCCTTAATGCAAAGTAAATTTCTTCCAATTCTAAATAATCTATCTATCCCAAAACAATGAGTAATATCATATAGGTCATTACCAGACCTTTTTTGTGCAAACAAGTTTTCCATTTGCATATACAATATTTTCTTATATTTCCTCCCCATTTCACATCGTCTATTCTATTCTATTTTAATTGCATTGCATGTTTCTACTCACCGAAGATTTGTAGCTTTTAATTCACTGGTCTCCTTGTCTAGAGGTATAATGGTAAAGAGACCCGTATACAAGCACATACCGATAACACGTGCTTTAGGATCTATTACCGCCATTACTCCTCCATCAGTGGTTGGACTATATTGATGAGAAACATTACCATGTGCTTTCGTCACTACACTTATCTGATCGCCGATCATACGGCATTCCAATATCATTACATTGTAACGATGTGTAAGGATAAACAATAAATCCTTTTTGCTGTCCTATGATATAAATTTAAAATGAAAACTATTAAAACTATCCATTACCCAGTGGGAACTAATTTTACCTGTGGACGGAAATGTTTCATCACCATAATTTGCCCATAGATATTCACTTCCTTTAGAGGCCTCAAGCCCTCCGGTGTAACCAAATCAATTTCCAATTGGCTATTTCGGGCAATGATCAGGTTAAGGTCTGTGGGCGATGTAAAGTTGCCTGAAAACACAAAAATGTTGATTCTCCTCTTTCACCATGTTTTAGGACAGCAGCTACTTATGAAGCGGCATGCCCGCAGATTGCAATGTTACAATGCAAAAAATATGCTGCTGCTACTCAAATACTACTACTCACCGGTAACGCAAGCAACAACGGCGGTAGGCTTTTGTGCCGTGACCACATAATGATATTGAGACATATTTGCACTATTGAATCAATCGAATACGTGGTCTTAATTATTTATCTTTACCAAACCCTTTTCGTTAGATATTTTCTTTGCAAATAATCTGCAAAATCTTATTTTGGTCGGCAATCTTCCCTGCGCGCTATAAAAATATTTTACCAATTAGTTTACAGTGTTGCCAAGAAGTTAATTTCAGCATTTCAGAGTTGCCAAACGTAAGAATTTGCTTATTGATAATGTTAAGGTATTTAGACACAGACCAAATCGATGCTCTCATTATACAATATTTACAAGGCAGGCCATGGCCACCAACACATTTCAAATTTTTGTTAGCATGGCTCATCTGCTGTTTCGACTGCACTTATTAATTCGCTCTCTTCATGGTAGAAGAATATAGGTAGATGCATCAACGCTTGCGAACATTGATATGTCAAAATTTTAAAATTGTTTTGTAAAAAATAAGTACATTTTTATATATTTTCTTATACAATGCAAATCGGAGGTTGTTACAATATGCATTTCTCAACAATTTTTACAAATTTTAATAATTTTTCATTCAACATTTTCAATTCCAAAATCGGTTTGACAGTTCATTGTCCCAGCAGCTGTGTCGAAGCGACTACCTGTATTCTTCTACCATGGCTCTCTTCGTTGTTTGAGCCTTAGCTATGGAAAGAAAACTTAATTCTCCACACAAAATTTCCTCATATCTGTACATTGTTCAAATCAAATCACTCTCAGAAAAACGATGAAATATGATCCACCCCTAACAAATAAACATATATCGAAAAAATAATTATGACATTTGAAAATATAAAATAGAAAAAATATAAAAGAATTTTAAAAAATTTCAGAAAAAATGAAAATGATTAATAAAAAGTACATTGTCGAACTATTGAGTCCAGTCATACTTTCCGTTAGTATGTAGATTCCGCAACGGATTTCAAATAAGTCCTGGGTACTCTAACTTCGTTTTTTATTGTACCATGTACCAGCTGATTACATATTTTTTCTAAATGTGCCCGAATTTATTCAATTTTGTGTATGTATATTTTGTTTTGAAATATAAACAAAATATTTTCAAAATCAATGATTTGAAGTAAAGTACGTTGCGGGATGCGCATAAAACTATTAATAAGTTTTGCTTTGGAAGTGGAAGATTGAACAGTTTAGATCCTATTTTTGAAAGAATGTTCAGTTATTTCATTAATCTTTTGCGTTATTTCGCTCATTTTAAAAATAATCGAAAAATTCAAATAAATGAAAACAACTTGTTTTTCATATAATTTGGAAAAATTCATATAGGAAGTGGCGTTACAAAGCTGTTCTACCTCCTTATTGTACCATGGTTACAACTTGTAAACTTATGTTCTACATGTCTTCGCAGAATTATTTCGTAACAAAATTGTTAAATGCTGAGCATATATGCGTTATAATAAGCCTTGTTGTTTCAAATAAATTTAAATGTTTTACAGAAAATTTTAGATCCATGGTACAATAAAAAGCTTTTAGTCGTTACCAATTTTTTTCTGAGGTAATATTATGGTATAATTATTACAAGTAGCAGCAAATTCCTGCTGATTTGACTCTATAGCAATACTAGTGTTGATGTACAATAAGTATCCACTTCACTGCCGTTCAATGTGAACATTTTTTGGCCTAATAACAGTAAATAATGATGTTATACTTTACAAAACTCCAACGTTGATGGAACGGAAACTTTTTTCGCGGTAAAGGAACAAGGACACCACATTAGGTAAAATAGTCGGGTATTCCATGTTTTCTAAAATTGCAAAATGTAGAATACTTGATGTATATATGAAGTTTGGTTTCAATTTGAGAGGGATGTTTATTTTTCCAGGATTTTCAAGCGATTGCTTGAGGTTTTGAAAGATTTAACTTACAGCTAACTACAAAACTAATCTTCTGTATTTTAAATTTAATAATGTAAATTTTAAGTTATCCTTTTGGTTACAACGGAATTTTCTAAACAATTTGAATATAATTGACAAGAAACCATCAAAACGTATATATTCGATAGGACGAAGGGGGACATACAGCCAGTCGAATACTTATGCCAAGAAAATAATCCATTTATGTGCACTTAAAAACAGTGATTTAATATAATATGTACAAACAAGAATGGGAAATCAAGAGAAATCGTTATGTTTAGACGAAAATGAATGTTTGTTTAGAATTTTGGATTAACTAATTAAAAATGAAGAAAGAAAATTCCTAAATTGTCTGCATGAATGTTTATTTAATTCATTCTTAATACTAAATCGTCTAATGTGAACCACCTTTATAGGGTGAGACTCAATATCAACTCTATTATCTTACGTAGGGTTGATATATGTATTTTTCCATCTTCTCTTCACTGCATTTTACAGCACTGAACTTCTGGTGATGCCACGTAATTAAATGAGAAAGTTGCTCATATGTTTTTTGTTTTGATAGTGATTTACTATCTATTGAACAATAATATCATTTGCAATTAATATTAATGGCCTTTATTGTGTTATTTAATGCTTCCCTCTATTGTGTTAGACGTATGAGGACGTAGGTTAATCATAGCACGGAAAAATACAATATCAGAGTTGCACAATCAATATAAAAATATGGCAACATCATTTTTCATTTCATTGTGATCAAAGAAAAAATTGCTGAACGAGACGACGAGTCAAGTTTGTCAAATTACACATCGGTTCTTTTTATTGGTGAAGTGAAAAATAGGAAAAGAAACTCTGCGATAAAAACACTTTTTTGCATAAAAACCCCTTTAAGGAGTATTTTGTAAATAATATAGTTAATATTGTAAAGGTTTATTGATACAATAACCATAAATAAGGCATACGTGGTTGAAGAAAACGAGAAAAAGAAAACGATAAGCGAGTGAATTCTGTTTTTTTTATTAATAAAACATGGCGCGTCTAACCTACGTCTATAGAATGGAGGACATGAGTTATGTGAACGTCGGCCGGAGACAATTGCCCGTCAGTGCTGGTGATGATAATCTAATGGTAAGGGGTACATATGATGATGATTAACACAGTTTTCCAGTTACCGATGTCAAGTGAAAATAGAAAAACTATTGGCTATTCACAAACAGTGTGACGATTTTTTTTATTTTCCCACAACAGAAGAGCATATTCGTAATCATCATCAACGCAGTAGTGTTTCGTGAAGAAATGTAACAACGTTTCAGGGGAATATTATTATTGTTGCTGTTGTATTTTCTTTGGTGCGATGTGAGTTGCCGTCTTTCATTGTTACCACCACACTCACTACCACCATTATAATAATCATAACGATTTGCATCCGCCGCACCACCCTCCTCCCAGTTTAAGGTGCAGCTGACGCTGATTAAACTTGTTAGAGTATTTGGTGCTGTATCTTCTCGCACAGTCAATCAGCCAGCCAGCCTCGCACATACAATGTTAAGTGATGTCGTTTACTTCGGCGGCGATATTGCCTTCTTTAATTTATTTGTTTTGGAACAAAAACCTTGAATATTAAATTGTTTATCACTTGTCATGAGAGTTTGTCGTCGACTATTTGTATGACGTCGAGCCATACGCAGTTTATTGTAGACAAAAGCAAGACGACAATAACTCACCAGCTAGCCCAGTACCACCTCAATGTAAAAATATTGGGTTATTATTATTTTATTTTGATAATCGCATTGCGAATGTGAATAAATGTTTTGATTGAAACTATAAAAATATAACAAAGTGTTGTACGTTTCCTTGAGTGCGGCTACCAAGCTAGTGATGTTTTCGATGTTGAACTACGCCCACAGTCACCCACTTCCTCCGTGGTCAACAAAATGACTTAAAACGCCTTTACAATTTGTGGCATTTATGCAGTTCACTACCATTAGTTTTTGAAAAGAAAAAATCGATGAAAAAAACTTTCTTTGATAGTCTAATTTTTTAGTATAATCATTTTTCATTGTTGTTTTCTTGGATATTGCTTATTGTTGTTTGGTTATCTTTGTGACCACCACACATCAGACAAGAAGCTGGGTAAAAACAGGTTGAACATATAATTCAGCTTATTAGTGGTGTAGTTGTTGTTGTTGTTGTACTACTGTGCTATTGAACAGAAAACGCATACAACTAAACAGAGATGGAAAATTGAATTCTGTTAACAAATTTTTGTGATGATCACTTGTTGGTGTTACTGGTATTAATGGTATTAATATGGGGAATTGAAATTTCTAATTCCTTATTTAAGACGATTTTTACTCCATAACCAAATAGTCTAAAAATAAATAAATTATTAAACTATAAACATTGGTTTCGGATCTATCTACAAAAAGTTGCTTTCTTTTACAACATCAACCAGAGAGCCTCAAGAACCAAATTATTTTTATTGCAACATTAGGAATGTTTCAATATAACTCATGGTTTGGAGAAAACCAATTTATCTGCTGTTTTGTTTATTCTGTTGAAATGGAATGACTTTCGTTCACGCCTAAACAAAGACTTAATTATTTCACTTTGATGGACCCGGTTATCTATGTTTAAAGAAAAATCAAATATGGATGTTGTTTGAGGGTTTTTGAAAATGGCTGTCGTAAGAGAGACCACGGAAAGCGGGAGGATAGCACTTTTTGGGGTTTTGGTTACGACGTATCCTGGACTTTCTAGATGAAGGCGATAGAATTAGTGATTACATGCCAACCTTTTTCGACCTTAACTACATAAATGTAACAATACAATACAGAAGGTGCTGACGTATGCTGAAGGCACCGGTGCTGACGTATTCTGTCCAAATTCAACTATTATATAATCTTATAAAGCTAATTATAATTGTAATGTTTCCAGACAGAGATCTTTGCAATCTAGCAGCAGCCGAAATGGTAGGAGAACTTAGGAATAGCATAATAGAACATCTGTCTATTTATGTCGATAGTCTGCCCTGCCTACTGTAGACTATGTGAGGATGAAGAGGGGGTAGAGACAATATAATGTTATCAAACAGGAGACAAGGAGTATATGCTAAGTGGAAAATAAAACTAACATTCTTCTCAGATGTATCCTGGCTACGAAAACCATCCTATTAAAACTACTCTAAAAAGACTTGTTATACACTTATATATATTTTTCCTTTCTTATCATTGATTATACTTCCAAGAATGAACACGAGTGTGTGCCCTAAATTGGGAAAATGTTTATGCTCCACCTTCTAACTTCAAAACACCAAATAGCTTTTCATTGTACGATATTGGATTGATTGAACTCTTTTCTTGCCGATAAAGAATTTGTAATTGTGAGGACCACCGCAATACCAAATGTGTATGATGTCGAACAAGTGCTTTTCGTGTTTTAACTCCATTTTTAGAAATTCAGAAAGTCTGATAGGCTGTTGCCAAAGATCTTCCGGTTGACAGGGCAATTAAATAGGGACTGTATTACACTATTGACAGACGTTTTGTGCATTTTATTGAATTCACGCCGAATACGCACTGAGATGACTGCACATCTGGAACGTGTTTGAACCCAAACTACCCTGGCTGTTATCAAAGTCGTAAACTTAAATAAATTTAGTAACATCCAAAAACAAGGAAAATCTTACAGCATTATAAGCTAACATATTTGAATCTCATAAGCCCCGGCGAAACCCGTCCTTCCAGTATTAATAAAAAAAACATCGGATGTTGACTCGCGAGGAAAAGGAGAAAATTATATTGAAAAAAAAAATTTTTATATAGATTTTTTCTTATCTCAAACCCTGATCCAGCACCCTAGCAGAGATAGGTTCGAATATATATGAAACCCTCCAGATCTACATCCATTTTCTTTTTTTTTTTTATCAGAAAGTCATCCTGTCCCGTTGCGGCATCCATCACTCACTGTTAAACAAAACATTTAATTGCACTCACAACAGCATTCAGTCTGGTTATTGCTCTCTTTCATTCTGGCAGTTTGTTTTTGATTCCTTTATTATTATGAGACAAAGATATAATCCCGTGTTTGTGTTGTGTACAGCTTCAATTTTGATTTTTATGCATAAATGATTTACGGGACTAAAGTTCAGCTTTTTTAATTGGAATTTTCAATAAAAACAATTTGACGTAGCGGGTATTTATGAGTGTGAGATGTTTTCCTACACACGTGTTCGATCGACCAGTGTAAAAACATTTGAAAATAGTTTGTATTATCTTATCTTGAAGGTAATAATAGTAGTTACTTTTCATTGATTTTCTTTTGAAAATGTAAAAAATTGTTTAAATGCATAAATGCAGAGAAATATAAAATTAGAACTGGTTGAGAATAGGAAGACTCGTAACATAAAAATATATATATAAATTTTGTATATTTGTTCATGGTCGATTATAACATACCCTATTTTACACTGTGGTCAGAGTATTATGTCCATAGACCTATAGTTGATTTTAATGATCCTCAAAGAATCACTATCTGAGTCGATTTATAAATGTGCGTCCGTCTGTCTGTCCATGACCATATTTTCTGAACAAAGTACACTTCGCATTTATTGTCTGGTCGATATAATTTTGCAGATATCATTTGTTTCGCCCAAGGACGAATCCTATTGAAATTGGAGATAATTGGTCAATATTAAGATATAGCTCCTTTACATATCTACGTCCGATTTATCTTTTATTGTTCATTAAAAGTGTAATATTAACGCGAAAAGAATGTAATTTGCTACGCGCGACCAAATTAGGCATAGAGGGAATAAAGTCAAATTTGTTGAAAATCGATTCAGTACAGGGTGAGATAAAAAAAAACTACAACAAAGTCAAACGATATAATTTTTACATTTTTTTTAATTTTATTGAATGAAAGCAAAAAAAAATTAGAATAAGTTCAGATTTGTTCGAATTTGTCACCTTTGCCTCGAATTATGACCTTCAAACGGCCAATGAAACCGTCACACGCTGCCCTAATGTTGCCTTGCGGTATTTTGGCCCATTCCCGTCGAAGCGCTTGCTTGAGGTGATCGACACTTTGGTATTTTTTAGTGCCAACCTTGCTTTCCAAAATACTCCAGACACAATAGTCCAACGGATTGGTATCCAGAGATTTTGGTGGCCATTGTGCACTGGAAATGAAGCTAGGAACCTCATTTTGTAACCATTCTTGGGTGGTGCTGCTGATTCCCGTTGGAAATGAAAATGTTTGCGTGCCCACAACTTTAATACACCTTCCAGAATATTTTCGCGATAATATTCGGCATTTATTCTGATGCCACGGTCGATTAATACGAGCGGAGAGCGACCATCGGCTGTTATGGCGGCCCACACCATCACCATGGCCGGCGCTTGAGTTTTGGTGGCCAACCGAAGGTGCACATTTTCAAGTGACCTCTTTGGAAAGTAAACACGATAATTTTGTTTGTTTACAAACTGCTGGACAACAAATGTTTTCTCAACTTCTTGCACTTTTTGGAATTTCAATGGCTTTACCCCGAGCTCATTTTTCAATATTTGTCGAATGGAATATTGCCATATGTTCAGCTCACAAACCATTTTTCGACCACTGCGTCGCGGGTTTCGATCAAGTCACTTCTTTGCTTTTCAAACCATTTCTGCTGATGTTGCTGTTTTCTTCCGTCCACTTCCTTGACGTCGGGCTACGCTACCAGTATTACGGTAACTAGCGATGGTACGAGAAAAAAGATTTATTCACATTTAAATGCTGGAGTGCTCTAACGACAGCCACTTGTGGGTTTCCAGCCAAATACAAAGAAATCACACTATCAAGCTTCAATTTCATCACGAATAACTTTTTTCTGGATTCTTTAAAATTGAACTACGATTTTCAGAACTAGTGACATATTCAAAAATGGTTTCAAAGGTTATGAAAAATTATGCTTCATAATTAGTTCGTGCAAGGACTTTTCTAAATACTATGTAGTTATTTGCATCATGACTCTCATAAACGATTTTCTCCAGAATCTCTTATTCCTCATTTTCCTTTGTTTTTATTTTTTACTTTGCAGATGTTAATGGATCTTAACAGTAAAGGCTTGTGCATCGATAGTCCTCACATTCGTGGCAAAGAACTCGAAGAGTTTACACGAAAATTCAATCTTCTTACAACGGATGAGTTGCATACATCATTGGAAATTAGCAGCAAGACATTCGTATCCGTTCTAAATCAGTGCGTTCAATGTGTCGGTTGTCGACGACTTGTTGAGCGCCTTTTCTATCAGCTTTCAATGTCCGGTCATCCAACGCTGGATCCATTGGTATTGAAAAATTCTTGTGTCCTAAGCATAGCGGAAGAGAAAATGAAAACACCACAAGCGTTAGGCACACTACTCTATCGTCATCATGAAATTCTAAATAACCTGCTGGAAAGTAAATTACGGAACAAGACCAGATGTGTGTTACATTCACTGGATGCATTTCGTTCGAAGCCATTTTCAGAGACGTGGCGTGAGGTGTGGTCATCGATGAAACACAACTGTCGCGAAGAATTGGCCGTGGTTGAGACAAAAGAATTGCGTGAAGTCTTAGAGAATTATTTGAAAAAACATAAATTCTGCAATGGTTGCCGTACGAAGGTAAGTATTTGACTGCATATACATACAATTTATTTGATCGTTTAAATGAAATTTATTTTTCTTTATTATTTATTGAACAGATCGAAAAGGCTTACAAAATCTTAGTGGGTGAGACGACACCGAAAGAGAAAGGCTATGTCCCCGCACTTTATGCTAATATCAAAAAGTGTCACCCCGACAAGCATATACATATTTTCACGAACAAAATCGACTTTCTCGACGCTCTTATAAGGCGCGCCGAACCCGAAGTCAACGGAAGGTAAGTTTATTGAAAACATTTTATGTGGATTATCATCACCTTTAGCTTGTCAAAGGATTTATTTTATTATAATTTATTAAAATTGGGAGGGAGGGAGTAGGATGGATATAAACATAACTTTGTTTTGAATATCTACAAAAAGGAAAAGATAATAGTGTCGATTAATTTATTGGCTAGCTCCCAACATTGCCACTACTTAATATGAGATTGAGATCACTAATTTTTCCCCAAATATACTAGAATAGCCAGCGAGATGACATACACCCACTTTCGTCTTTATCTCTATATCATCCTCACATAGACTACAGGAATCAAAACCACTGTTATCCTATTTTCAAATTAGATAGCTGATACTATATTGACCAGTGAAAATGCCTATCACGATTCTTATATCTGAACTACCAATTCTCGTCTCAAAGAAAGCCCAGATGACCCAGACGGCTTTAGATACCTTGCGTTCGATTTTCAAATGTCCTCTCTTGCCAGCTTCTTTGGAGATGAGTCGACTGGAAAATCCGAGCAAATTCATAAATCATTTCATTCGCCATTATTTTACTATGTCTTGCTGCTTGAAAGTGAGCCAGAAGATCCAGTATCTGCAAATTTAGCATCACGTGCAATGCGGGTTGAAAGTGTTCACATGCTAACAGAAAAGGCACGCAGAGGTAGAATACTCTTTGCAAAAATTGACAACAAACTAGAAACATTTTTATGAGATTTACGTTTTGTAAATATAAAATAATAAAAATAGTAAAATGTATTCTATATATATTCAGCCCTAGAACTAATAAATTCTTCACATCCATATATCTTATAATTTATGCTAGTAAACAACGCAACTAACATATCTTTTACTCTTTTTTCAGCTACTCCAAACTGAGAGAGCGACATGCGAAAACATTAGAGATTGCGCAGGAAGAAGTTCTAACCTGTGTCGGTATGATCATGTATGAGCGTTTGCGTCGTGTCTACGTTAGTCTGCGTGAAGAGGAACGTGCCTGTCAAGTTTTAGCTGCTGTCGGCGTTCACGCATTGTGTCAAAGTTTTGACATGTCCGTGGAGAAGAAACAAGGTATTAGCAATTTAGAATTGCTTTACCAAGAGATTAGTCGTGCCGAAAAAGCCAAGGAACACAAACGCGAGCAGAAGAAGTTGAAAAAGAAGAAGAAGAAGAACGAGAAGAAAAATTCTCGTGTATGCGGCGAACGCAAGGAAATCAATGCAGGGGAAGAGGAGGACCAACAGGGTAGCGAAGATGAAGACTTACATGAACATCATGGTGCAAAGACTTCGGCGAAGAGTTCCATAACATCGACGTACGATGATGGTGATGAAGCACTAGGAAACGATGAAGACGAAGAAGAGGAATACGAGGGCGAAGAAGAGACGGGGAAGAAACGACATGTGTTAGCTGCTGGTCAGAAATCGAAAGAGTTGGAGGAAGACGCAGGTGTGGAATGTGATCATCTTGAAGGAAATCACGAGGACGACGATGCGGATGATGTTAGTAGTGAACATCATAAACCGCATTCAGCAACAATCCAAAACCCAGTTCAGCCAAATACTCAGCAGCAGAAGAAAAAGAAACAAAAGCAAAAACAAAAACTAAAAACACCCCAAAAGAAAAATTCCCCCACCAACATTGGCAACGGCAACAACAATAGTAGCGGTGCTAATATTAACAAGAACAAGGAGAAATCTCAAAAATCCGAATTGTTGAGTAGCTCTTCTAGTGGTAATCACCAGCAGGTGTTTGTTGTTAAAAACAACAACTCCTCCGATCGCATTGCGGCAACAACTAATGCCACAACAACAAAATGCAACGATTGTCATGCTCCAACATCTGAGTGTCCTTGCGAAAGTGATATTAAAGATTCTGGCTATGGCAGTGAACCCTTGTCTCACGGCAATTCGCGTACCTCAAGTGTTGTTTCATCGCCCGAAGATACCTCTGAAGGCTCAGAGGTATCATGTTCTGATGGTTTTTGCAATCACGAACGTACCACCAACAACAAAAATGTGGTCAATGACCCACACAAATGTCATTTGTCGTCATCGATTGATGACAACAATTGCGATGACCAATACAATCGTGATCATTATCACGATGATGATAACTATCATCATAAATCGTTTGATTATAGCTTTGGTTCGGATTCGTGTAAATTCTTTCCAGAGGATCATTTCAATACATTGAGTCTGCAACAAATGTTGGTAAGCTTTATAAAGGTTTTTATTTATTTCCATTCCATTTATGTTTACTGTTAAGTGTGACGACTATAGCAAACCTTTAAAAAAGCAATTGGAGGTCCGAAAACGACGGGAGGTATTTGGTAATGATCTACTTGTAGAAGTTTCTGTGTCTATCGACGACCATTTCATAACCCTTTTAAAAGACTTGGAGAAGTAACGAAAATACCTGTTAAACGTTTTGGGCATAAAGAAAGCAGACATCATCACCATCATTATATTCAACAAATGTCTCGCTTGATGTGACCATTTTTTTGAAAATTTGGAAAAGTTTAACAAGCAAAGTTAGCCTCAAGCGAAAATTCTTAATTTTAAGTTAATATTTTCAAAATATTTTCGTAGACGATTTATAACTTTCTCATATCTTCGTCCGTTCTTTGAAAAACTTGGAATATGTTTACAGGTGACATTAGCATTAAACGAATATTTCATTTTTGGGTAATGTTTGCGAAATTTACTCTTGGCCGTTTTACAACTTCTTCATAAAGCATTACTTACGCAACTGTTTTTATTTTAAGAGCGGAATAATAAGTTAACATTTACAAAGTTTAAAATTACTCTAATAGAAAAATGTTCGGCCCGACTTGACTTCTTTATAAATCTTTACGTGTTTCGTATGTGACTGTTTCTAAGCTTTTGTTGCACATGATATTTATTTCAAGTTTTTTTTTTAAAACTTATCATACAAAATCTAATATCTAAATTTTACTTTTCAGGACGATTTCGATGGCGATGATGAAGCTGAAGAGAACTGTTACATTCCCCATGAAGTGGTCTTAGAGTATCAGTGCCAACGTGAAAAGGTTCAACAACAACGCTTGCAATTGCGCGAAACATTGCGTGAAAATTTCGCACGTCTGTGCATGCAACAGGGACGTTCGATGACCGCCTCTCCCTTTTCTATGTCTATTAATAAGTTGTAAAGCAAACAAAATAATGTTGTCATCATTGTGAGTTCTTGATAATGTAAAGCAAATGCTCTGTAAACTGCGCTCTGCCAATGAGTGCAAACATCATCAATATTATCCAGAACCAGTTATATTTTCAAATTATACACACATCGATGAGAATAATTCATATTATGATACGAATATAACTGTATTCTCCTTCGCCTTTCCAACTCCCTACATTAACGCACCCTTAACACAGGCGGATATTTAACCGTAACATTATGCGATCGTTCGTCCCCTCTGCTGCAAACAAGAAGCCCCTTACATTTCGTGCCGAATAAAGTGCAGAACATATTTTGATCAAGTTAAATAGAATGATAATGATGAAATATTCTTTTGTTTGTTTGCAAAAAGAAATCATAGAAATTATGAATTGTTTTCTTTTTTTGTTTTAAAAAAATATATCTAAAAAAGAAATATTATTTAAAAAAAAATTACTTTAGCATTTTTATTTTGTTGTTTAAAATGTGGAGTACAAACTAAAACTAAAGATGTTGTTGCTTAAGGTTTAGAAGTGTTTTTTTTAGCAATTTTTGCATTCTTCATGGAAGGGTTCCAAAGTCCGCAAATCACGCCATGTGGGAGGCAAACCATTTGAAACATATTTTCCACATCTCTTACAAGGTTCCAAGAATAATTTACTGTAGCTATTCAACCAAGTCTATAAAATAAAAAAAAAACAATTGGGTGTTTTATGTATGTGAAGTGATTAGATGGCTCGTCTCAATGTTTCGTACTTACCATGAAACTTTTAACCGCCAATTCCGGCTGAGTGGGCGAAAAGAAATGCAACATGGCTGAATGCGTATGCTCTTGAACTTTACGAAAGACCTCGTAGCGTGATTCCGTCCATAGATCATCAATTTCCATGGGTTCATCGTACCCTTTCACGGTTACCCACTCAATGAGAACACCTTTGCATATTATAGCTGCCTTCAGAACATGACTTATGGTTGCCTATTTGGATGGGATAATAATAGAAAATATTGTGGTTGAAAGGCACATTAATTTTAAAAATAAATTCACAATGAACTTACAAACACCACAGCATTGGAACTAAATTGACGGCAAACTTCATAAATTGTGTTGGTGTGCGAAATATCATTGTAAAAGAGGTTGTCAATGAATCTGGTTGTGAAGAAAAAAAAATTATTTTGATTAACAGAAGATTTTTCAAAAAGAGAACTCACTACTCTTTAGAGAATAATAATTATTATGTGATGAATATGCTATGGATATCTTCATCGAAGGATGATTTCTGAAATGTTTGAACAAGCTTTTTTAAATTAGCCTTGACGTGCCCACTGCCTACGAACTTCGATATTATAAATCTACTTTTAATTAACTGTAACTTCTGCCTCTAGATGGCATCTAGCAGATCTTCAAAGCAGGAAACTGCATTGTAAAAGCCACCAAAAGGTAGGAATCAGTAGAATGGTTATTTTTAATTTTTCTTGAAGGACCGTTCAATTATGCACTAAGGAACCATAGGAAATACGGCAGATGAAGGACACAAATGAACACCCGAAGATTCACCGTGTATTCTACGAATTATCATAGAAAAATGTAAAAATAGGCCTCAAGTGAAATTTGCTAAAGTCGTAGAAAGTAAGCAAAAGGTTGTTTTATTAGCTAGTGGTGAAAGCAACAGTTTTGTAAATACGGTTTGACACAAGCTAACGTTCCCGATATCGAGCTTAGCTAATAACTCTCACTTCATACGATTTTATTACAACAGGAACCAAACACCGACATTGATGTATACGAACATTCATATGCTGGGTTGTGCGGCAGTATAATAAAACGCTGTCAATGCAACCCTTACTTGGATGTTATAAACCCAACCATCCCAATCACTATCTGGTGGACAGGCAACCTTCGCCCAGGTATGTTAGGAAAGACCTTCCTGATGTAGAAAAAGAGGTACAGAGATATAAGAGAGATCCTCTATTGAACAGGACTGAATAGTATTCACTCTGCAGCGATAACAGCAGTCATATCCGAATACAGAGTGGTATACTCGAGGATCATCCTTCTCCCATTGCAGCTGAAAAACACAACCGGGCCGAGAAACCAGAGTAGTTTTGCCACAACTGAGATGTGGATGGTACAGCCTCCTTCGAATTAACATCAGCGTCAAGCATTTGGCATATGGCCAAATTTCGCCTCTTCAACTGCCCGGCCAAACTTACTTACAATAAAGGTAGCTTTTTTTTGGACATTTGGAACATGGAGTTAGAAGCAGAAACTGATTAGAGAAGATATCAGAACGAACATAACATTACGAGCTGCCACAACAACAGCATCGAGGTGCAGGACTTATGATCTAGACCCATGCGGATAAACATTTTGTAACTTAATAATCCCGACGTGAAAAATTTAGTTATATGGCATAGGCCCAGAACCATACATTCGAAATGAACAACGTCTTACGGATGCGGATTATGTCCAAATCATTGTCTAAATGTTCGAATATATTTGAGCACTGTGAGTCTTACTACTTCCAATATTCTACACTTAAGATTAAAGTTCATATAACAAAGGCCAATAATCACTAAGCCGGAAATGAACAAACTCTCATGGTTGCGAATCATGTCCAAATAATACTTCTACATCATCCTCAATACATACCAGTCTAGAATTGTCCAAATGTTCGATTAAACCTGGGCACTGCGGAGGAAACTTACAGCTAGTGTTTCGAACTCAACCATTTCTATGTTACTACTTCCAATATTCTACATTTATTGTACACATAAATACGAAGAGCTTCAGTCTATTATGTAGCAATGGTGAAGTTTCTACAATCAACCTCAAAGCAAAGTTTGTTGTAAGTGGTAAATTTTTGGCAGGAAAAATTAGTTGATGAATAAGTTTCTAAAAGTTGACGACAGAATATTGAAAAATGAATATCGATCATATTTATAAGAAGTCTCTGCAGTTAATTACCTATACATCTTTGACAAATACCTTATAACAATAACATAAATTCTGCATTTTAAAATTGGATTTGAGTTCTCTGTATATATGAAAAACAAATTTATATATATACCGGCATTTTTATACTTACTCTGGATCTGGATTGTTACAAGATGTGTATTGAACTCTACCCCTCTTCTGCGAGCAGTAGGTGTAGGACCTCCGCAAATTATTCAAATTTAAGTTGTTGAAGGCCAATAAACTGTGTTCGTGAACTTTGTCTATCCATTTATAACTATTAACTAGCTGGGAATACATAGCTTGCCGATCCTGGGTAATTTCTTGGGCCAAATATGTAGTATTTCCCAAATAGGAGGAAACCAATGACGGTTGTAAGCCATTGATCAATGTTTCGACTTCCCTGTAAATAAATAATTGAGAGAAATCTTATAATTTATAAATTGGGGTTGATTTTACGGTTAACAACCTTAATTGTTGATTAATATGGCTATAATTCTCTTGAAACTCGACCAGGAATTTCGTCCGGTTATCTTCAGTTTGTTCGGCGGCAGTGCCATCTGCTAATTGTTCAAAACACTGGCGTACACTGGAACGTAATGATTTTACCGCATTTAATGTTGCATTTAATTTTTCCATATTTGCCATTAAAGAACTAAAACTATAAATTTCATGAATTTCTGCCAGAAAAACAAATTAAAAATCACAAATTGCAATGTAAACAAAACGCACTTTTTGAGAGCTGTCAGAAACTTGTGGAGCCAATTACTGTAGTCGTGTCGTAATTTTTAGTTGTTATGCGTTCCACGTAGTTTGTATAATTGTAGTTGTTGTGAAATAATTCAATGGAACAATGATGCAAATTGATATTAGTCATAAAATTAATATTATTTTGATCATTTTCGTCAGCTGCGATATAAATTTCTAATGCAATAAAATATTTATAGATTTTAAAATTGCATATTGCCCGCAAAAATAAAAAAATCCTACAAAGCATATGGTTCATATAAATTATGGAGTCTAAAGCGTCCTTCATGCCGGAAAATCAGCCGTTTGTGTATATATGTAAATCTGTTTGAGTGGACGAACCGGTGGTATCTCGCTGTTGAAAAGATTTCACAATGCCCATTGATTTTTTGGAAATCGATGGTAAATATCTGGAAGGTGGTGGTCAAATCCTGCGTAATGCTCTCAGCTTCAGCTGTATTCTACGACGACCTGTTCGCATCGTCAATATAAGAGCAAATCGACCCAATCCCGGGCTCTCCAATCAACATCTGTTTGGCTTGAATCTTTTGGTGCAAATTACCGATGCCCAGGTTAATGGAAATCAAATGAAATCTACCCAAGTAGAATTCAATCCTGGCAAAATAAAACATGGTAAATATTTTGTAAATACTCAAACGGCTGCCAGTATATCATTAGTTTTGCAAACTGCCTTGCCGGTACTGGCTTTTGCCGGGGGCAAATCTGAATTGGAACTTGTGGGTGGCACTAATGTGGGTATGGCTCCACAAGTTGACTTTCTGACAGAAGTTCTGAGACCAAATTTAGAACAGCTTGGGGTATCCTTTGATTTTGATCTCATGACGAGAGGTTACTATCCTCGTGGAGGTGGTCGTTGTAAGGTGTATGTACCACCGGTGAAGTGTCTCAAACCAATAAATCTTACAGAATTTGGCCAAGTACAAGAGACTGTGGGTTGGTGTTTTGTAGCTGGTCGTTTGCCGCCCAATCTTGCCGACAATATGAAGTCATCAGCTGAAAAGGAACTAGCAACTCTCAAAAACATACCACCTTGTCAACTGGAGGCCTATAAAGAATCTCCAGAGGTTGCGCGTGATAATGGTTCTGGTGTCATCTTGAAAGCAACTACAAGTTCTGGCTGTGTCATTGGTTCTTCGACTTTGGGCGAGAAAAAAGTCGATGCCCATGAATTGGGTTCTAAAGCTGGTCTAGAACTTGCTCAACTAATTTCACAACAGGTGTGTGTGGATCAATATGTACAGGATCAATTAATTATCTATATGGCCTTGGCCAAGGGGCAGTCGAAAATTTTAACAACTCCTTTGACAAATCATACAAAGACGGCAATATATGTAGCCGAGAAAATGTGCGGAGCTCGTTTCACCGAGGAAAAGGTAAATGAACACCATGTACTTTTAACGTGTCAAGGTATAGGATACACAAGTCAAAACTAAAAATATAAATAAAAACCTAACAAGAATATACATGTTCTTTCTTATTGTACAAATTTCTTTGCACCATAAAGTGGACAGAAGGCTATTCACACTTGTAACGTTTGGCAAAAGGAAACCCATGGTAGAAATACCAGGTAGCAACATAGGCGAAAATTACAACAAAGCAACTTTTTTAGAAACTTGATATGTCAAAGTTTTAACCAGGGCGAATTTATTTGAAGTATAAAATTTGGGGCAAATTGGTTTGCACCAATCAGAACTCTTCATTCTGAAACATTGAATAAGTTTGTTTTGGTTTATTCATATGTATATATTAGTTGAGATTAGTATATTTTTAACATATAAACTGAAAATACTACAATAACTGGAAGTGTATACGTATTATACCATCAGTCATATCGCTAGAGAAGGTCTGTATAATTTCATATGACCAAAATGTATCTGATCGAAATAACGCCTCTTTCGACGAAATCCGTTTCAGGACATTTGGAGGCGACCCGTCCGTCTGTCTTGCTGGTGCGTACGATAGCTGTAGAATGGATCATCATCCAAACATAGTGCATCGCAATATTATTAACAAACATAATGCGGAGATGGGCAATGTCGTCCCACTCCTTCCGGTTCCTCCCTCACGACATCCAGAATCCAGTGCGAAAATACGAAATATATGTAATGTTATCACTTATTTTGTATTCTCTTAATAAAATAAATAATTCTCCTTGTAGCATTAGATATAGGTTTTTAAGAAATGTGTAAAGATTCCAAGTTATCCTTTTGTATTAGAATTGGGGTTGATGCTTTGCCATTAAAAGTGAGTAAATAATAAATGTACATATATGCGTGGAACTTGTGAATTTAAACCTGTGTGTAACTACGGTGGATCTATCGGAATTGTGTACAATATAAAGGTCCCCACTGTATTTTAATGATCTTAGTCACATTTACCCACGGAATTGTTTCAAATTTGGTATTTAAAACTTGCAGTAGATAGAAATCCACTTAGTATAAATATGTGTATATAGGTTCATGTTTTGGTATGACTCCAATGTAACGGTTCCACACACTTTATTGGTATTTGAAATCTTTAACTGCATTCTTCTACCGATCTCAGTCGTATTTGTAGTTTAAAGTGGAACATGTTTGAATCCAGATACTTTTGTATAAAAATGTTTTCTTAGGTAATGGTGGAGGGTATTCAAAGCTCGGCCCGGCCGAACTTAATGTTTTTATACCCTCAGCCATATGGCTAAAGAGGGTATATATCATTTGATACGGTCAAAACGTGCCTAGCCGAAATAACGGTTTTAGAACCTAAGTCTCTTTGAACCAAATCCGTTTCAGGACATTTGGAGTCGATCTAGCGATGTCCGTCCGTCTGTCTGGCTGGCTGGCTGGTGCGCACGATAACTCTCGAAGGGAGTATCCGATTCGGTCCTAACTTGGTACATCTTCTCTTCCTTGGGTACATTGAAAAATGTTGCTTGTCGTTCACTATCCTTTCTTTTGCAAACAGCACAGCACCTCATATTCTGTTTTTTTTTTTTTTTTTTTATTTGAATTATATCACAAAATTTGATTTTTATATTTTTGTGTTTATTTTTTCCTCTATGATGTTTGAATTTCTGTTATGTATTTCTACGGCGAATTCGAATTACAACAACTTGTTTGACATATCAAGTTGACTACAGCTGGCCTGAAAGGGTTACCTTGTAATTCTACCATGAGGAAACCTTATTTAATGAAAAAGTTATTACATTTCCGTTTCCCCTACCTATTTTTTTGCAAACAGTATCTTAATACTTTAAGCTCAGACCACATTAACATGGCGGATGGGAAGTTTTGCCAATGTCAATGGGGGTCTTAAGTAAAAAAAAACAGTTTGTTCCAGAACTGCAGGAATGTGAAAATTTTTACTACCATAAACGATTTCCCCTTTTTGATATCGAAAAAAAATTCAATACTAGTAGATTTCTTCTGGTACTGGAACAGAGCAACTGATTTAGCTTGTATTGTAGGAACCTTTACTAATTATTTTAAGGCATAACAATCAAATTAATCAACGTATTACGGCTTATGAGAATTTCAATTTTTTATCTGATGGAACTTGTATATGTATGGGATAGTATTTGATTGGATTAAGTGTCAAACGATGAAAAGTAAAACATGCATGAGAGCTAAAGCTAAGCCTTGATCGATTTTTAATAAATCTATGCTAAATTCTGTTGCAGGTGCAACCGGTTCCTTCTCATTTTTGGTATTTTGAAGGTTTTGGCACAAATGGCAATGACAGCTTGGATTTTAGCTCTATGAATATACGCAATGAGAACTATTTCCTTTAGAGTAGTCATTGGACAGTCTTATTCTTTATTTATGTTTGCAATTCACATTTTCATAGAACACAAGTTGATCCTAAGATCGGATTTTATTTGATATTTAGGTTTCTAAGTGGCTTGATATTTCGGTTTCTATTTTGTATCGTGGATTCATTGAGTGAAAATGTAATAAAAATGCAATGTCGTTATGATGACCTACCTTTCTTACCCACCTTTATACACGCTTATTGATAACTCTCTAAACCAAATCTGGCAACACTGCATTGAAATGTCAGTGCTTGCTTGTCATAGCTGTCAATTGTTAATAACAGCTGATCACTGTATTTTGGGGAAATTGCGAAGTATCCACGACGTCGTACAAGTAAAAACATTTTGTTTTTTATTCTAAAATAGACAAGATAGAGTTCGTCTAAGGAGAAAAGACAGTATGGGTAACAAGTCATCATTACTGTTGCGTCCTGAGGAAATTGCCCAGATTCAAGAGGAGACTGGCTGTAAGTATGAATATTGAATATTTATTTAAGACAACTGTGCAAGGTAACCTTCATTGGTTGTTTCCATTGGCTGGCTGGGTGCCTTCCATAACTACGGAAAATTTACGATGTGGATAATGTGTGACAGAGAAAGAATGAAATATTTATCAGACATAATTGTTTATTGACTTTGTTTATTATCTTTAAACTAATAAATATATTTTATTGGTTTTGTATTTCGACCGGGCATTCATATAGCTACGTACGTACATAGTGTCAATTTCGGGTTGCTAATTGATGATTTAGCAGGGTTTTAATAAAATGTATTTGTCGAACTTAATATAGTACATAAAAGTATTTGTCTGTAAGATATTGGGTGAATCGAATGTGTTTTTCTTATGCTAACAATAATGGACGGGTAATCAGTTCATTTTCTTAACACGATAACAAATTGTTAAATCCGTGTGTAATTTTGGTATGTCTAAAAAGATTAAAATAAACAATAAAAAGAAGATTAAAAAATTTAGAATATAATAATTGTTTAAAAAAAATTGAGTACTAATAAATTAATTCAACATTTACTACCGTCCCTTTTTTGTTATCACATTAAAGTGAGTCTAAATATATTAAAAATCTATTTTTATATTCAGGTTATCTTCTATTATCTACATTGCCATTCCTTCCAAGCAGCAAACCTGCGAACATTGGCATGCCTGTTGTACAACAATTTATTGCATATAATATAGATAAATGTCGGATATTAAATTTCCTGTTCTACTGAATGATAGATGTTATCCAATGGCACCAAACAGATCTTTCCAAAATGTGGGCATCAGATTATCTTTTTAATATTGAATGTCTCGTGACGATGCTGAAATATTTTGGAATGCTACATACACATCTACAAACTATTGATCTGCAATGATGACGTCAAATCTTAATTGGTTATTTCAAAAGTACATTTCACAGCCAATTCTTATCCCAACAATTGAAATGTATACAGACAGTAGTTAAAAAAGCTTACACACACAAACATCCTTGTCACAATATCTGTCATTTATTGTTAGAAAGTCATATGGATGTATATATGTTATTTGCTTTTTAAGCTGACTGGTAATTGTCAAGTGTTTTTATTGCTATAATGAAAGTTCGCCAGATAGTATGATCTTGAATATCTCAAATACCTATATAATATTTGATATTTGTTTGCACTTCACAATGTGTTATGTGTGTACACATGTGTGTCAATGGCGCAATGTTGTCGCTATAATTATAGAAAAAGTATAGTAGTCAATACTTTAGACAGGTTTTCTCTTAGAAATGTGTCATAGATAAGAATCGATTGAATGGTAGCCGATAAGAAGCTCCTTCTAATTATTTAATAACTAGTGAAACTGAAAATAACTGAAAACTTTTATGTATGTAGGTACAATGTTCAGAAGATGGGAATAAATAGGTTTTGTTTTGATTACTTTTAAAACAATTGTTTTTTAGGTTAATACGTTTATAAAGCTTTCCCTTGGCTTTCACTGAATCAATTTGTACAAAAATTCGCAAAGTATACTTCAATACTATTATATCCAGTATCAAACAAAATCGAAAACATATTTTCCTTTATCATATCGAAATTTATTGCAAAACTAGAAGATTGTTGCAAGTTCTGGAACAGATCATATATTTTTCCCCAACGCCCGCAAATTTGTCGACTGAAAATATATATTTTTTATTTCACATTGTATTTTTGGGTTTTTGTATATTTTGATGTTGCAAAATGGTCAGGCTCAATCACATTATTGTTGATTTTATTAAAAACAACGTTTGTTTATTAGTGGAGAATGTGTACCAGGGGGTAAGGCAGGAAATACCTAGGATTTTTTTTACAAAAACAGGCTGTAGGGCTTCATTCTTACAATAGAATGGCAAAGTACTATATAACCTTCCCCTCACTTATTAATCAGACTTAGATTTACTTAATGTAAGGTCAGTATTTTAATCTGTACAAACTTGCAAAAAAACCTTGTAGCTGATTAGGTTAAGGTCCTACTGGCATTGCAAATACAACTATCCACTCCTTGTAGCCAGGATAAAACATATTCAAACCCTCTACCTTTGTATAGTTGCAACCAACTTCAGACTGCTGTCATTTTTAAGCCACTCGTCCGACAGCTGTTAAAATCATTCCAGTGACAGCTCATTATATTGTTTACAAGCGTACAAAAGCATTTTGATGAGAATTTTCCAGGAAAAAAGTTATTCGTGATGAAATTCAAGCGTGATAGTGTGATTTCTTTATGTTTGGATGGAAAAGTGGTGAATTGTCGAATTTGCTTTTCTCCGATGGGAAAACATTCGTTGCCGAGAAGTTTGTAAACAAACAAAATGATCGTGTTTACTCGCCGAGGTCGCCAAAGGTCAGCTGAAAATGTGCACCTTCGTTTGGCCACCAGAACTCAAGCGCCGGCCGTGGTGATGGTGTGGGCCGCGATAACAGCCGATGGTCGTTCTCCGCTCGTACTAATCGACCGTGGAATCAGAATAAATGCCGAATATTATCGCGAAAATTTTCTGGAGTGTGTATTAAAGCCTTGGGCAAACATTTTGGCCGCAAACCATGGACATTCCAACAGGACTCAGTACCATCGCACTCAGCACGCGCCACCCAAGAAGGTTGAGGTTCCTCGCTTCATTTCCATCTTCACCAAAATCTCCGGATACCAATCCGTTGGACTATTGTGTTTGTAGTATTTTGGAAATCAAGGTTTGCACTAAAAAATACCAAAGTGTCGATCTCCTCAAGCGAGCGCTTCGCCGGGAATGGGCCAAAATACCGCAGAGCAACATTCGGGCAGCGTGTGACGGTTTCATTGGCCGTTTGAAGGCCATAATTCGTGCCAAAGGTGACCAATTCGAACAAATCTAAACTTATTCTAAAATTTGATGCTATTTCCGACATTTTTTAGCTTTCATTCAATACAATTAAAAAATTGTAAAAATTATGTCGTTTGGTTTGTTGCAGTTTTTTTTTTATCTCACCCTGTGTTTTCCTATATATATCCTCCATAGTTTAAATAAATAATGTATTAATTATTATGATCTTTAATTTCAGTTACCCCTAACCAAATTGAACGCTTATATTCTCGCTTTACATCTTTGGATCGTGGTGATTGTGGTACCTTGTCACGAGATGATTTCCTGCGTATTCCCGAATTGGCCATTAATCCACTGTGTGAACGTATTGTGCATGCCTTTTTTGCCGATAGCACCGATGATCGCGTTAATTTCCGTCAATTCATGAATGTCTTGGCTCATTTCCGACCAATTAAAGCTAAAAAGGAAAACAAACTCAATTCAAGGGAAGACAAATTGAAATGTAAGCAGCAATACACATTATTTCATATTTAATTTAATATTTTTTGTTTGGTTTTTCCTAGTTGCCTTTAAAATGTACGATTTGGATGACGACGGTGTGATTAGCCGTGATGAGCTACTGAGCATTTTGCATATGATGGTCGGCGCTAATATTAGCCAGGATCAATTGGTTAGTATAGCTGAACGTACCATATTGGAAGCTGATCTTTGCTGCCAGGGTAAAATATCCTTTGAAGATTTCTGCAAAGCTTTGGAACGCACAGATGTGGAACAAAAAATGTCCATTCGTTTCTTAAACTAAAAAGTGGCCTTTTTTAATTACCGTCATACAATGTCATCATTGTATGAAATATTTCCTTTATTTTATTAGCATAGCAAAAAACAAGTATTAACAGGAATAGTTAATTTTTCTTACATTTTTTTTTAATTTTCCTAAATGTACGCATTGTTGGTTTGTTTTTTGTGTTTCTCTTTTTTTATTAGTAATATTTTATTTATTTTTCTTTTCCCAACCAAATTGAATCCATTCCGTGTGTGGTTTAGTGTCAATAACTTATCGCAGAAAATAGGAATTAAATAAATAAAATAAATCATCTGTAATTTAATTATTGATATCTATAGTTTATATGGATTTTATCTGAAAAAATAGTTTTTTTTTTTCAGCAAAAACAATAACATTAATCAAGCGGTCTAAGAATAAAGAACTTGTTAACAATAAAATCTATTTATGTACTTAACATTGCTTGAAGTTAAATTTGTTTAAAAATGTAGTATATTTTAAGGCATATCTTCAAATGGTAGGTACATGCAACACACATTTGTACATGATAATCAATAATTTGATTAAAAAGAAAGAAAAGTAAGCTTTTACTTATGAAATGAAAACTAGATTTTGCTTAAAACTAATTTATTTTAATTGCAACAAATCGATCTCTTATTCAAGGTCTTCCTTATCGTTTTTCACCAATTTTGCCAACATTTCTGTGCAACAAAAGGTAAACAATTATTTACCTAGCTTTTGATAAGCTCATTTAAGTTTATGCGTATTAAAATAAGAATATATTTGACATTAGGCGATACAATGGCTGTCTGAAGAGGTACAACATTACCAATCCACTGCTTTATTTCGTCGAATGTATGGAATAAATTGGGTTCATCTCATGTTTACTGTCACTGTCTGCTCTAATTTTAATAGCTCCCACTACAAAACAGCCTTCTGATTCCATGAACTACAGATAATACGCATTAGCTCCGGGAACATTCGACATTGGTCTAATAACTTGTGTGGAAAACCTTCCATATTTGTCCTACTTACCACAAATTGCTTGTGGAACACAATATTCATGAGCATAAACTGGAGAAGAATATAAAAAATCCTTTTATTAATATTTTCATAAAACAAGAGTCAAGGTCCAGGTATATTGTGTTACTACTTCATTTTGCTGAATGTATAGTATGAATAAGATTTATAACATGTCTCCCATGACAATCTGCTCTAATTTGTACAGCTAATTAACATTAGCTCCGTGAACATTAGATATTGGTCTAATAATCTCTCAATTTAGTATTTGGAAAATCCTTACTTTTTGTAATAGTCATGTACAACATTTATAAATAATCTGGTGAAGAATATGTGTATGGATATACCTAGGCCTTGATTTTTATTTGCAGACCCACTTTTTAAGATCATTACAAAGGATATATCCATTTTCCTTGTGTTGGCCAAATTGACCGGCACTTCGCTTTGAGACTTTGTCGAATTATAAGGAAAGATAGTGTTGTCATAGAAGGAAAACTGGTCCGTGGAACTCGCCAAGCGCTATTCATGCCTTATGGTATTTCCCTAGCCAGGGCTTGGTGTGTCTAGAAAATATTCCCAAAACTGTGGCTAGATTTGTTGACAGTAGCACTCTTCCGTTGTCACGGAACCTTATTATTCATTCAGACGGAGATAAGTCTTTGAACGAGTAACCTTATTATTCATTTGGGAAATTTACAATTTCGAAAAGGGTAGATTTGTTTCGACTTTTATTGACTAGTCTTCTGAAACGGATTATCCCACCTAATTAAAATTATTAATTCAATTAAGTGAAAACAATTTGCAGTCAAATAGAAAATAAACGTTATCAAATCATAACAGACTTTGTTTTTGCCAGATTTGATATGTTTTGAGTGTGTGTGTGTGTGTGTGCCGATATTTAGAAGGGATATAAACACACTAACCAGTAGATTATTCTAAATGATTCCCACACAAGATTTGTGTAATTTTTGTTATTGGTTTCGAATTAAAAAAGCAATAATAATAAACCTCAAGATTTTGAGACAATAAATCAATGATAATAAGCAAAAATGTTATTATTGGCGTTAGTCCAGTGGTGACTATTGAAACGAATAGGTGGACAATAATGGTAGTTAATTTGAAAGCTTTCCTAATATTCCTAACTTTATTGGGTGAGTTCAAAAGGACTTTTAGTCTATTATGGTTTTATTGAAAATCTCATTCCCCAGTGGGCACCAATGCCGCCACAACACCGTGTAAATTGCGGGAAACCCCCGAGGGTGGGGTATGCGTTTGCGATGCGGAATATTGTGATTATTTGGATGATCCTACACCCACAAGCGATGTTCAATATTCATTGGTTTCCTCATCAAAGGTATGCTAAATTTATGGTCTGTTCCAGAACCTGAAATAATCTATAAGTTTTGCATTATTTTTCGAAAATCGGCTATCACAGTAAAAACTTTTACATTATTGTAGTTCTGGAACAGACCATTGGTAAATTCTTTAATTTTTTATTTTTCTTTTTTTAGGCTGGTTTAAGATTTTCCACAACCAGTGGCCTTTTCAATCGCTTCAGCAAACAATTCGTTTTGGATTACGATCAACTTCCAAAGAGGAATATTGATAATATAACTCTGCATATGAGCGAACGTGGTAAGTTGAACAAAAAATGTGTTAGTGTTCCGCAAAGCACTCGTAGCAACATTCTCCCAGAAATTATTGGGTGCTAAGAAAATACCTTTTTATACCCTACGCCACAAGGTGGTCAGGGTATTATGTCTTTGTGCATTTGTTTGTAACAGGCAAAAGGAAACGAGATAGACAGATATCTGCATAGAATCAGACAGATGATCTGCATAGAATCATATTCTGAGTCGATTTATGCATGTCTGTCCGTCCGTCTGTCCATTTATTTTTGTAAACAAAGTACAGTTCGCATTTACTGTCCTATCCAGATGAAATTTTGCACAAATCATTTGTTTGGCCCAAGGACGAACCCTATTGAAATTGGAGATAATCGGTCAACATTTAGATATAGCTCCCATATATATCTTAATCCGATTTGCCTTTTATTGTGCACCAAACGTGTAATATCAGGGCGAATAGTATGGAATTTATCATACATCCAGATTAGGCCTGAAAATAAGTATGCCAAATTTTATCGAAATCGGTTCAGATATAGCTATAGCTCCCATATATACTGTTCATCCGATTCGTTATTTTTGTCCTCCGCAGACGTAATATGCACTCTGTAACAACAATATTTTGGGAAATATATCAAATACAACTCAGAAATACATTTGCTAAATTTTATCGGGATCGGTTCAGATTTGGATATAGCTCCCATATATAACTTCGTCCGATTTACCTTTTATTGTGCACCAAACGTCTAATATTTGTCCAAATGGGATGGAATTTGGCACTTGCGACCGAATTGAGTCTAGAAGCTACTATGTCTAATTTGGTGAAGATCGGTTCAGATATAGCTATAGCTCCCATATATACTCTTCATCCGATTGTTATATTTGTTATCCACAACTGTTATATGCACTCCGTAACGACGATTTTCAGGGAAATATATCAAATACAGCTCAGAAATATCTTTGTCAAATTTTATCGAGATCGGTTCCGATTTGGATATAGCTCCCATATATATCTTTATCCGATTTCAATATAATTGTGCACCAAATGGGTAATACAAGTGCGAATTTAAAAGGTACAAATGCTTCGGCATATTCAGTCCTTTGAACTTTAAATTATAATCATAGCGTGTATGAACTTTTAATTGTTATGCGGAGCTCTATTAAATTAGCAAAGTGGTGTAGGGTATCATAAAGTCGGTCCCGCCCGACTTTAAGACTTTCTTTACTGGTTGATGATAGTTATTTAGCGCCTTCATATGCAACTACATAGTTTGACGCAAAAAATTGTGTTTTTTAATAGAGAGTCAGGGAAAAGTTGACGTCTACCTCATTCAACTCCCTTCATTCGCATTAACTCATTTTTCACTTCGAGACATGTTATCTTGGCCATTGATTGTCAATTGGTCAGACAAGTGCATTTTCAATCAGTTCAACGTTTTAAAAATTAGTTCTCTATCCCGACACAGTTTTTTTGTGGTCGTGTACTTTTTCAAAACTTTTAGCCTACGTCAATGACAATTGTATTTGTTTTCACGGTTTACTGACACATGTTGTATATACACTGGTGGCCAAAATTAAAGCATCTAAAATTAAAAGTAGAATGAATGCCCCGTAACTTTTTTAAAAATTAAGAATATGAACAAGTTTTTCTAGTTTTAACTTAGTCACTTTATTCTCCTTTTAAAAACTTAAAACAAAAAACCAAAATTAATTTTTATATAAAAAATAATGTATGGTCAAGTTATTTAACCCGATTTTGGCTTTGACAAAACAAAAGCAACTCTGTTGTACATTTATATGAACGCTGCAATTTCAGTTGTTTTTACTGTTATATTCATCGCTTTTTGCTTCCTTCAAGAATTTCGCTTGTCATAAATCATTTTTGAGAGTTTTTTACAACAACACATGTTTGTTTCCGTTTTTTAAGTACTGTCCAAAAAAGTTTAAAAGTGGACAGAAGAAAATACAGTACATGAATAAAACAGCAAATTAGGTGTGTCTGGTTACCCTAAAACTTGTAACAATTGTTACTGAAAGTCGTCTGTTGACCCGAAAGTTCTGCAAAAGAGAGCGGTTGGAGAAAGAAATTTTGACAGTTCTTTCAGTGAGAGTTTGCAAATTCTTGCTGGACAAATTTCTTCTCATTCATCGACATTCAATCAGATGTTTTCTATTGTTTATTTATTTCTTTTTGTGATTTTAATTTGAAAATATTGTTTTGGAATTAGCAAGACTAATTTTTTTTTTGGAGAACAACTTTACAAAATGTGAAAACGCTAATTTCTAGTTTCCTTTTTTTTTAAATGTAAAATTGGTGGTGCTTCCTATCTTTTAATTCTTTTCATGGGGGACAAATTGGTTTGTTTTCATAAATCAGCTGATTAATTGCAAACTACTGCAGGAATACCGCCTGCTTACTTTTCGCATTTTGCTTGCAAAAGAGAATAAAACCACGTTACTCTCTCAGAAAGAAGTTGCTGAACAATTCCTGCAGGAAAAGTAACCAGACACACCTATTATCAGTGACTATGAAAGCAAGCTATCGCAGAAAATGATTTCCGATTTTCTGTGATTTCTCGTATACTAAGTCGGTTTTATAAAACTGGATCAGTAGTAACAGTATATAACGGAGGGCGTGAAAAACCTCAGCCAAACTGATCAGAAAATTGTGAGAGAAATAAAAAAACAACCATTTAAGAGTTCAGCTAAATTGGTGAGAGAGCTATCATTGGATATAAGCTCGAGCCATGATGGCTTTCGGAAGCGATAATATTAATTGGAACAATTTATTCTGGGATGATTCTACGTTTGATATTAAAGGCTCAGACATGAAAAATTTTACAGTGAAAAGGCCAAAAAATGAAAGACTCAAGCCGCAGTGTTGCAAGGGTACAGTGAAGCACGAGGGAGGGTCAAAAATTATGTGGCGCTGTTTTCTTTCTTTATATGGACTTGGGCCCATCCATGAAATAAAGGAAGTTATGGATCGATTTGTTTACAAAGATGTGTTGGGCATCACGTTGTTCCCATTCGCTGAGGAAAATATTCGGCTTTTTGGGTGTTTCAGCATGACAATGATACCAAACATGCACCAAAACTTGTCAAAAAAACCTAAACCCCATAAAAGACCTTTGGAATATCGTAGACAGGTAGATCAAGTGAGATTCAGAAATAAATAAACACAACATTCTCCGAAGAATTCAGGTTGTCTGGGAAAGCATACCCAAGGATCAAATTGAGCGTGTTATAGGTTCAAAGTAAAAGTTACAGGGCATTTATTGTCTTTGCGATTTTAGTTGCTCTAGTTTTGGCCACCAGTGTATATGTTGACCGGTGATTTTATGTGATATTTCGCATGCAGGTGGTTTGTTATTTTACTATCCGCCATAAAGATAAGCCTCTTTTGAAATGAAAGATCGTGCCAATAACATTCCAACACAGGAGATAATCTGAAGTTGATTTGTGAAGTAAACTCAAAAATCATTTTTACTTTAACAAAATCTAAAATCTATGTTTTCCGTGATTCATCCAGATCATAAATGGTTGTATACGATAACCAGAGCACAGATTTACTCGTTTCGAAGTGATTGAAGAGTGGGAGTTTTTTTTTAAAGATATTACTCTTCATACTTTCGTTTTAAGCTCCCGATACACTCCTATTTGAAAAATTGGAAGGGGAGTTGTTTGTTAATTTGTGGTTGCGTGTGTGTGTAACAGCAAACCGGGTTTGATGTTGCTGTGAACTGTATGGGAGGAGGGGTTATATCGTTTGGTACAGATTGACGACAATATGTGTGGCTGATTACCCTAATATTTGTAATGTTAGCAATTGTTGCAAACTGTTTCTGGAAGTCATCAGTTAACACAAAAGTTCTGCAAAAGAGAGCGATTGACAGTTTTTTCACTGAAAGTTTGCAAGTTTTCTTCTTGCAATAGGTGTGTCTGGTTACCCTAAAATTTGTAACAATTGTTACAAATTGTTACTGGAAGTCGTCTGTTAACCCGAAAGTTCTGCAAAAGAGAGCGGTTGGAGAGAGACAGTTCTTTCAGTGAGAGTTTGCAAATTCTTGCTGGACAAATTTCGACTTGCAATCACTTACAACTCTTCTTCTTCTCATTTATCGACATTCAATCAGATGTTTTCTATTGTTTGTTTATTTATTTTTGTAATTTTTATTTGAAAATGTTTTTTTTTGGTATTTGAAAGACTAATTGTTTTTGGAGAACAACTTTAAAAAACGTGGAAAACGTAAATATTAATATGTAATAAGGAAATAAAAGACTATTTCCAACATTTTTAGACAATCACCATTAGCAACACATTCAAAGGATTCCGGGGAACACATAAAATCTATCCTTCTTTTATTGCTCATGTTTGTATTTTATTGCTAATGTTCTTTTTATTTATAAAACTTTTAAAATTGGTGGTACTTCCTTTCTTTTAATTCTTTTAATGGGGGATATATTGGTTTGTTTTGACAAAACAGCTGATTAGTTGCAAGCTTCTGCAGGAATACCGTCTGTTTACTTTTCGCATTTTCCTTGCAAAAGAGAATAAAACTACCTTACTCTCTCAGAAAGATGTTGCTGGACAATTCCTGCAGGAAAAGTAACCAGACACACCTAATCACTTACCACTCTTCTCCTTCCGGTGATTTCTATTTGGACAATCAATTTAAAAACATCTTAAGATTGGAAATTGTCTCTATCTCTGTTTATGACTCACAAATCAGCTGATTGCTTGCAAGTTTTTGCAGTGATTCCGTCTGTTTACTTTTCACAGTTTTCTGGCAAAAGATAATAAATCTTCTTTACTCGCTCAGAAAGAAGTTGATGTACAATTCCTGCTGGAGGAGTAACCAGAAACACCCAATGTTCTTGCCTCGACCCACATTAACTTATTTAATTGTTTTCTTCCAGCTCCTACACGCACTGTAAGCCTCAACATTGATCGTGAAAAGCAATATCGCAAAATTGTGGGATTTGGCGGTTCATTTACCGGAGCTGTGTCATACCTATTGGAGAAATTACCTCAAGCTTTGCAGGACCACCTATACAAGTGAGTTATGAACTTGCCAATGAAACGAATTCTACAGGGTAATTAAAAACATTCCCCTTTTCAGATCATACTATGCTGACGATGGCCTAGCATTTAACCTGATGCGCATGTCCATTGGTGGCTGCGATTTCGATTTAGCTCCCTGGGCCTATAACGAGGAACCAGTCAATGATGTCAATCTGAGTAACTTTACCAAGCTTGATCCACGCGATCAAACCAAGGCGGAACAAATCAAACGCCTCAGAAATGTGGCCAATCCGAAAAATTTGCGCATTAAAGGTGCTGCCTGGAGTGCACCGCGTTGGATGAAGACAAATGATCGTTGGACCGGTTTTGGTCGTTTGAAGAAAGAGTACTATCAAACCTGGGCCAATTATCATCTGAGGTGGTTGGAGATAATGGAAGAAAATGGTTTACCCATTTGGGCCATTTCCACCGGCAATGAACCCATGAATGGCATATTCTTCATGTATTTTGTACGTTTCATGAGCATGGGTTGGCATCCGTTGAGTCAGGCGGCATGGTTAAGTGATAATTTGGGACCCACCATTCGCAATTCCAAATATAAAGATTTGATTATTTTGGGCAATGACGATCAGCGTTACACCTTCCCAACATGGTTTAAAATGGTGAGTTTATTTTGTTGCGCTGAATGTCAATTAATAATTAACATTGTTTTTGTCATAGATGAAATTGTCGCGCCCTGATGCTTTGAACTATTTGGATGGTTTTGCTGTTCATTGGTATTGGGATGAGATTTTCAAGCCCTCTTTTATTGATAAAACTTTGGAATTATATCCTGAAAAAATGCTCCTCATGACCGAATCATGCATTGGCGATAAGCCTTGGCAAAAGGCTGGACCTGTGTTGGGCTCATGGTATCGTGGTGAGAAAATTGCCAGAGCTTTCTTGCAGAATTTGCAGCATGGCTACAATGGTTGGATTGATTGGAATCTTATTTTGGATGAAACCGGTGGACCCAATTATGTAGACAATACTGTGGATGCTCCTGTTATTTTAGATACGTCAAGTAAGTTGAAAACAAGAATTTAATTAAGGCCAATTAATACATCATGTTTGGGTTACAGGTAGAGTATTTTTTTATACCATTCACCTAGAAAAGATGGTCATTCCATTTGTAACACCACTAAATATTCGTCATAGAACCCATAAAGTATATATATTAATAATTAGCATAACATTCTAAGTCGATTTAACGATGTCCGTCTGACTGTCTGTTGAAATCACGATGCAGTCCAAATTATTTGCACAACAAATGGTTATGTGTCTAGGATGGTTGGTACTGAAAACGATATGCATCGGTCCACGTTTTCGTATAGCCCCCATGTAACGCTACCACATTTTTTTTCACGGATTTGTTGTTCGTTACGGGCCCCAGCTTCGGTGACGGAACATTGTACATATAGGTTTACTTTTTCGTATAGCCCCATATAACAACACCCCCCGATATTCGGTGTTTTGATGATTTTCGAAACAGTTTTTACGTTTTTATACCCTCCACCATACTATGGAGGGTATATTAATTTTGTCATTCCGTTTGTAACTCCTCGAAATACTCATGTCAGACCCAACAGCGTATATATATTCTTGATCAGCGTAAAATTCTAAAACGATTTAGCCATGTCCGTCTGTCTGTCTGTGTGTCTGTCTGTCCGTCTGTCTGTCTGTCTGTTGTAATCACGCTATCTTTCGAACAAATTGAGATAGAAGGCTAAAATTTTGCACACATGTATATTTTGCCAGTAGGCAGGTTAAGTTCGTAAATGGGCCATGTAGGTCTAAGTTGTCATATAGCCCCCATATAACGGTACCTCCCGATATTCGGTATTTTGATGATTTTAGCGACATTATTCACCGGAATTGTTTCAAATTTGGCATTTGAAGTTCGTAATGGATACTACAGCCTAAGACAGAAAATAATCTGTGTAGGTCCACGTCTTCGTATAGCCCCCATATAGCGTACCCCCCGATATTCGGTATTTTGATGATTTTAGCGACATTATTTAACGGAACCGTTCCAAATTTGGTATTTGAAGTTCGTAATAGACACTGCAGCAGTAAACAGAAAATGGACCATGTAGGTCCACGTCTTCGTATAGGCCCCATATACCGTACCCCCCGATATTCGGTATTTTGATGATTTTAGCGACATTATTTACCGGGATGGTTTTAAATTTCGCATTTGAAGTTCGTAATGGATACTTCAGCCCATGCCAGAAAATTGTCTGTGCAGGTCCACGCATTCGTATAGCCCCCATATAACGGTACCCCCTATATTCGGTATTTTGATGATTTTAGCTACATTATAAACAAGTTTTTCTTCAAGTTTCGCATTTAAGTGTTGTAATAACTTATGACAAAAGTTGCCTATGCAGGTATACGTTGTCGTATAGACATTCGGTTTTTTTAAGATTTTAACAGAATTTTTAAAGGATTTTTTTATTTTATTTATTTATTTATTTTATTTTTTTTTTGCCAAATTTATACCAAATGGTGGAGGGTATTAAAAGTTCGGCTCGGCCGAACTTACAGCTTTTTTAATTGTTTTTAGTTTAAAACGTCTGTGGAACATTTAAAAGCATTCCATAGGAATGATAAATATAAATGTGGAGAAAGTCCAACATGATGTGTAACCTGGCCTTAAGACTGCGTTTTGAAATCAATATTTTCTGTTTAATTTGATTGTAGATCCCAATGAAATTTTGAAACAACCAATGTTCTATACCATGGGCCATTTCTCGAAATTTATTCCCGAGGGCTCAGTTCGCATTGATGCCATACGCAGCAATGTCAATATCGACAGTGTGGCCTATTTACGTCCAGATGGTTCTATTGCTGCTGTTCTCTTTAATAGGTAAGTTGAAAATTGGATACTGAGTTTTAGTTGATGTTAAATTGTATTTTTTATTTTTTTTTTAGTGGAAACGCTATGGTGGAAATCAACATTGTCGATAGTGTTCGTGGTAGTGCTATTATTATTTTGCCTCCAAGGTCTATTCATACTATTATCTATCACTAAAGAAAAGAAAAATAAACTTATAACCCATATTTATTGAAAGAACATAAATAATGTTTTTGGGATATACATATAACTGTTTTGGAGATTGAAAAGGTTAGAGCGAGTCAGAACCTATTTTTTTACTACGATTTGATCTTTATGATAGCGAAAGAATTGCAAAATTACAGACTCTTTAAAGTCATTATATTTACTGTATTCTCTCATTCAATAAAATATACATATATTTTTATACCCTCCACCATACTATGGAGGGTATATTAATTTTGTCATTCCGTTTGTAACTCCTCGAAATACTCATGTCAGACCCAACAAAGTATATATATTCTTGATCAGCGTAAAATTCTAAGACGATTTACCCATGTCCGTCTGTCAGTGTGTCTGTCTGTCTGTCCGTCTGTCTGTCTGTTGTAATCACGCTATCTTTCGAACAAATTCAGATAGAAAGCTAAATTTTTGCACACATGTATATTTTGCCAGTAGGCAAGTTCGTAAATGGGCCATGTAGGTCCAAGTTATCATATAGCCCTCGGTAGCCCCGGTAACTCCCGATATTCGGTATTTTGATGATTTTAGCGACATTATTCACCGGAATTGTTTCCAATTTGGCATTTGAAGTTCGTAGTGGATACTACAGTCTAAGACAGAAAATTATCTGTACAGGTCCACGTCTTCGTATAGTCCCCATATAACGGTACCCCCCGATATTCGGTATTTTGATGATTTTAACGACATTATTTACCGGAATCGTTTCAAATTTGGTATTTGAAGTTCGTAATGGATACTACATCCTAAGTCAAAAAATGAGCCATGTAGGTTCACGTCTTCATATAGCTCCGATATAACGGTACCCCTCGATATTCGGTATTTTGGTGATTTTGGCGACATTATTTAACGGAATCGTTCCAAATTTGGTATTTGAAGTTCGTAATAGATACTTCCGCATAAAACAGAAAATGGGCCATGTGAAGTTCCTAATAGATACTTCAGCCCATGCCAGAAAATTGTCTGTGCAGGTCCACGCCTTCGTATAGCCCCCATATAACGGTACCCACTATATTCGGCATTTTGATGATTTTAGCTACATTATAAACAGATTTTTCTTCAAGTTTCGCATTTAAATATTGTAATAACTTATGACAAAAGTTGCCTATGCAGATCTACGTCGTCGTGTAGGCATTCGGTATTTTTAAGATTTTAACAGAATTTTTTAACAGAAAATTGCCAAATTTATACCATATGGTGGAGAGTATTAAAAGTTCGCCCCGGCCGAACTTACAGCTTTTTACTTGTTATAATTTACTAGGAAGTGCCCGCTACTTTGTCACCTTAAAATTCGAGATTTGTTCCAAAAGTTCCTGTTAGGACTTTTAGTACTCAAAATTCACAATTTGTCGAGTTTGACGAAAATTTTTAGTCAAAACCTCATACATCGTTCTAAACTTTTAGACTTTCATAGTTTTACACAATATTCAATTATTTTTTTTTATTTTTTCGGAAAGAATAATAGAAAAGTAGTTACCTTTACATCAAAAAATCTTCAAAATCTTTCAATTTAAAGATTATCTAATTTTACTTTCCAAAACTATTTCGTCGTCTCCATATGTAAAATCTAGAAACCAACAGTTACCTCAATATTAAATTTCAGAATTTCAGTTCTATCCCTTCACCCATTAATAATCTTAGTAACATTTAGTACGCATATACGCATTTGCAAAACCACCACCAGATACCAAGAGAGACCTCAATATTGATTATTCTGTTATTGACATTTACAGATTGTTATGTTATTTGACATTTTACGTTCTAAAGAGTTAAAGAATAATCTCCGCCTTCAGGGAGAGTCCGCCTGTACAGGTACCTCCAACAAAAGAAGTATTTTTTATACAAATCAATTCCAAATTGTATTATTATCACAAAACGAAACCAGTGTTATTCAAGTAAATCAAATACAGGTTTTAATAATATAGTTTTTTCTATTGTTTGGCAACGTTCGCTGTCCTGTTATAAAAGGTTCAGAGCTTGGAAAAAGACGGTTAATAAGATCTGTATTTATTGAAACACGAGAATTTTTTCGGGTATGATTATTCGAAACATTTTAATCTTTGTGTCTAGACTACGCGGCTTCCTCCGATAATTCTCCAATCTATAACATGGCATATTTTATAAGGTCGGGTGCATGTATTAAAATTTTATGTACTGTGGGAGGAAGAGAGTACCATGGATATCTATTTGTTAACTCCTTAGCAGTTCCCAGCGCAAAGGCCTTACATTTGTCGACATTAATATTTTACACAATAGACAATGCTTGTAACAATATTGAACACCTCTCAATTACATCTTTATCAATCCCTGCTATCTCCGCAAATAAGCTCAAATTGTTGAAAAATTCTCTCGCAGTATCCTCGTCGTTTGAAGATCCACTGCCTCCAACTTTAGGCTTATCTACAAATAAGCAAAACTTTAACTGAAATCTAATTTTATTGTCAAAATTTATCCTTAAGGCAACTCAGAATACGCACAACTTTTAAACACACAAATAACTGCACTAAAAATAAGTCAATACCTTGCTTTTCAATAATTATGCCAAGATTTGTCATTATACCCTACAACACTATGTGTTGGGGGTATTATAAGTTTGATTGGGCCAAAAATTATGTAACACCACGAAATATTGATTTCCCACATAGGAAAGTATATATGAATCTTCCTATCTCGCCGAGCTGAGTCGATCTAGCTATGTATGTCCGTCCGTCCGTCTGTCCGTCTGTCCATGTTAATTTGTAATCACTCTACAGGTCGCAATTATGGTCCGATCTTCACGAAATTTAAAATGGAGGTGGGGTTAGGGTCAGAATAGAAGCCTATTTCTTTTGGAGATGATCGCCAAATGTTTAGGGGTTGAAATGGACCAAATACTGAAAAAATATAGGATTTTGCAGTAGCTATACAGGTCGCAATTATAGACCAATCGACGCGGAATTTCGCATGTAGCTAGAGTTTAGGGCGGGGAAGAAGCCTACCAATTTGGATGGTCATCGGATAATATTTAGCGGCTAAAATAGACCATATCTTTTGTGTTGAAAAAAATTCAACATTTTTCATTGAACCGCGAATATTTTAAATCCCGGCGAAATCACGAAGCCATGACAAGGTTACTTCTAACCGTTACGTTGATGTTAACATCCAACAAATCGGATATATAGCAAAATATGTGCGATATATATGTCTATCAAAGAAGATATGCTTGAAAGATCTCTTATATGTCGAGAACGGCTGAACTGATTTCGACAGTTCTCATTAATTCAGAATGGCCTCTTGGCAGGAAACAAAAAACGTCTAAAAAATCGCATAAAAATATCTCCCTAAAGATAAAAATATTGATTTTGTAACATTTTCTCATATTTTTTCCATTTTGTCAAATTTTTGGCATATTTTCATTTTGAATTAAACATTTAGTAATATTTCTACAGCTAACAAAACTAAGTAGTTGGGATATCAGGATATCATATACAGATCGCATTTATGGCATTAAGATGAGGGTCAGAATAGAAGCCTTCTCGTTTTGGAGATGTTCGCAATATATTTAGGGGTTGAAATGGGCCAAAAAAACTGCAAAATTGTCAGCAGGTCGTAATTATTGCCCGTTCCTCACGCACATTTGAATGGGGGTTACCGGACATTGCAAAAGCCAAGCAGTTTTGGATGGCCATCCAAAAATATTCAATGTGCGAAATAGTTTGCCAACTTTTGTAGACAAAATACGAAAATGTCCATTCCAGTGACTCTTTGGAGAATTCACAAATACAGGAAAGACGCACTTCTGACTATTTCGTTAACGCTGATTTCATGGAAGAATATAGTCAAATGTCTGTATCTCATATAGATGCGTTTCAGTCAAAAACCAATAATAAATGTTAATCTTTTGCCACTTCTGAGAGATTATAGGTCAATGGGAAATATTGGTTCCAGATCTAGGAAGACCATTTACGTGCAACATCTACCAATAAATTGGAAATGAGCAAATTGGTTTAAGTTGCTATTATCCGAAAATTAGAGAACGAAACCTGATGGTTTTCTTTTACAATTTGTCACAATATCTTGTGGAATTCTTTCGAGTATCTCGCCTATATAAACAATATCGTTTATTATAGTGTTGTAGGGTATTTAACGGTCGGCCCCGCTCGACTGTAGCCTTTGCTTACTTGTTTTGAAATGCATTTAATTTTGTATTACAGTTCTATTTTCACTCCACTTTTGCATTGATCCCACTGAAAAATGCAACTTACTACATTTTCTCTTTCTTATGCTATTCTCGAAGTGTGATGTTAGAATTAAACCATGATTATTATGTTTTCTAAAAAGCTTAACCCCTTAAGAGTTCATGAGTACACATTTGACAATAAATATCTGATTTTAATTTTATGAATTTTGGCCAATCGCAGCGACCACTTTTCGACCGTGACCTAGACACCAAATTTTAGAAATCCATCTCTATCGCAACAGCCAATGGCAAAATCACCTCCTTCTCTCAACCACAGACATTTTTTAGTTCTACCGTTTCAATTTAGTACTATCTAGAACTTTTCCTAAAATTATTTATTTATTTCTGCACCCAATACCAAATTTAGTACCATATTTTTCATACAATTGAAGTACACATTTACGAAATTTCAGCTCATAACTCAGCCTTATCACACACCTACACTCGCGAGAAATTTCAAGATTCTAACTTCAGTCTTTTCGTCTATTTATATAAAATCGTTAGTCTATACCTTTATTTGACTATGTTTTAGTAATTAATTTTTTAATTGGTCAACCGCATGGAATGACCCATGTTCATTAATTTTATGAGAAAATAAAGAGCAGAAAAGAGATTAGTTGAATTTCAAAGACCCCACTGAACCGCAACAAAGAATTAAGGTAAATAATAAACAAAACAATCGCTTCTCCTATCTACAGTTGATAAGAAACTCAGGAGAGCATTTCGTTAGGGCTTCAAATATAGAGCTTAAATAAGAGAAATGCGGAGAGGGAGAGAGTGAAAACAGTGATTTATCAATTCATTTAGGCGCCAATGAATTCATTGCGTTTTTGACTGGCCAGCTGACAGCGCAGTAACTCATTGCGCATATTTGCGAAAGTTCGAAAGGGGAAGTCAAAGCAAACGTGGTATTAAATTGAAATGTATCGTTGCCAAACAAAACAAAAGTGAAATTTCGAAAATTAAATGCAATTGAATTGTTTGTTCATCATAAAGAAAATGTTACAACATCTGTTAATTAGTTTATTAATTATTTGTTTTTGTTTTGGTAAGCTATTCAGTTCAATTCAATTATTTGTTGTTGGCGCTATATAATAAATACTTTTTTTTAGATTTCACGAATGCAGAGTGTGATCGTGTAGAGACTAAGTTTGGTTTAGTTTGTCGTTGTACTGCCGATAATTGTGATTACCTTCAGGAACCAAATCTTCAAAATGATACATCATGGGTGTTAGTTTCTTCGAGCAAAGTAAGTTCGGGGCATGGTAGAATAAAGTAGGTGGCCTAATTTCAAATAAGCATATTCAATTCTGCAGTTTTTGTAATTTAGAAAAAAGATTCCCATCTCCGATTTGAATGAATACCTACAAAGGATTATGAGTATTCTTTCTGTCAAATGGATAATTTTGAAAAAAGGGTAAACGAGGTTACCTTCTTAACTCTACCATGGTTCGGGTTTTGTAGCCAAAAAAAGTCTATAATAATTGAGTTGAGTGTAAAAATATCCACCTTCTCGCCATAATCGATCATTTTGTATGTCAGTATTAACCAAATATGGCACAATCATATCTCCATTCAAATCAATCAAAAAATTGAAAATTATTAATTTGCGTTGGAAAAAATGGTTGGTCTGAGATATGGAGAGAGTGTTCTGGTGATTTTTTTAATGCGGCCGCACAAAATGGTTGATTTGGACCAGAAATTCAATAATTTTTGTAAAAACCTAAGAGAATTCCATAAAAATGTTTCAATGGTCTGTTCAATGTACAGGGTGAGATGAAAAAACTGCAACCAACTTCAGACTGCTGTCATTTCTAAGCCACTCGATCGACAGCTGTTAAAATTATTCCAGTGACAGCTCATTATATTGTTTACATGTGTACAAAAACATTTTGGTAAGAATTTTCCAGAAAAAAATTATTCGTAATGGAATTCAAGCGTGATAGTGTGATTTCTTTATATTTGGTTGGAAAACCCCAAGTGGCTATCGTTAGAGAACTCCAGCATTTAAATGTGAATAAATCTTTCGTGTCTCCTACCATCGCTCGTTACCGTGATACTGGTAGCGTAGCCCGACGTCAAGGAAGTGGACGAAAGAAAACAGCAACATCAGCAGAAATAGTTCGAAAAGCAAAGAAACGACTTGATCGAAACCCATGTCTCAGTGAGCCAAAAATGACTCGTGAGCTGAACATATCGCAATATTCTATTCGGCAAATATTGAAAAATGAGGTCGGCGTAAAGTCATTGAAATTCCTAATAGTGCAAGAACTTACACCGCAACAGAAAGAAGATAGACTCAAAAGAGTTAAAGAGTTGCTTCGCTTGGCCGTAAGTGGTGAACTGCCGAATTTGGTTGTCTCCGATGAGAAAACATTCGTTGTCCAGCAGTTTGTAAACAAACAAAATAATCGTGTTTACTTGTCGAAGAGGTCACCTGAAAATGTTCACCTTCGGTTGGCCACCACAACTCATGGTGATAATGTGGGCCGCCATAACAGCCGATGGTCGCTCTACCCTCGTACTAATCGACCGTGGCATCAAATAAATGCCGAATATTATCGCGAAAATATTCTGGATGGTGTATTAAAGCCTTGGGCACGCACAAATTTTGGCCGCAGACCTTGGACATTCCAACAGGACTCAGCATTATCGCATTCAGCCCGCGCAACCCAAAAATGGTTACAAAATGAGGTTCCTTGCTTCATTTCCAGCGCACAATGGCTACCAACATCTTGGAATACCAATCTGTTGGACTATTGTGTCTGGAGTATTTTGGAAAGCAAGGTTGGCACTAAAAAATACCTAAGTGTCGATCACCCCAAGTAAGCGCTTCGCCAGAAATGGGCCAAAATACCGCAAATCAACATTCGGGCAGCGTGGGACGGTTTTATTGACCGTTTGAAGGTCATAATTCGTGACAAAGGTGACCAATTCGAACAAATCTAAACTTATTCTAAAATTTGATGCAATTTCCGACATTTTCCGACAATAAAATTAAAAAAAAAAAATGCAAAAATTATGGCGTTTGACTTTGTTGCAGTTTTTTTTTTATCTCACACTGTATTAAAAAATCATCTTAATTAACAAAATATATTCTTATTTAGAATGGCTTGCGATTTTTTCCAACAAAGGGACATTTTGGAGCTGGTTCTGTATCAAACATCGAAGATTACCATAGTGCACCCCAATCACATAATAGACAATTTGATGCCGATGCTGTAATGGTAGATAATAGAAATTCCCTGGGGAAAATATTTGGCTTCCGTCAAACCAGCGGTAAGTTTAACAAATGAGGAAAGGTCGGGCGGGACCGACTACATATATCTCTCTATATATAAAAGCGTAGTGAAATAACTGCATGTCTGACGGACTGAGGATTAACGCTCAGATGAAACAGCTGAAGCTACAATCTTGCAATTTTGCTCGAGGGTCAGTCTTGGTGCCTTCGCGAGTTATAGGGCTGTGGAAATTCGTACTAAAATGGTGCGAAAAGTAATAAAATGTAGCAAAAATTGGTACTTAATTTGGAGAAGGTCTTATCATTTTTTTTTTTCATTTCAGTATTTTCACTGCCCAAAACATTGGAAAAGCCTTCCGCTTCCATTGCGATAAATCGGAATAAGACATACCAAAAAATTACAGGATTTGGTGGAGCTTTAACAGGGACTGTGGCATATTTATTGGACAAAATGAAGCCTGAACTTCAAGATCAGCTGTTCAAGTAAGTAAGACAATAAAAATGCAAGTAAATGTAATTTTACAACAAACAACAATTTCTCACAGAACATACTATCACAAAGATGGAATTGCCTACAATCTGTTACGAACTTCAATTGGTGGTTGTGATTTTGATCTAGAACCTTGGGCCTACAATGAGCGACCACAAAATGATGTCAACCTAAGCAATTTCACACAGCTTGATAGGCGCGACCTTTTAAAAGTGAAGCAAATCAAACGTCTGGAAACAGTTGCCTTCATCGATGATTTAAAAATCATGGCCGCTGCCTGGAGTCCACCGCCATGGATGAAAACAAACAATGATTGGACCGGTTATAGTAATTTGCAACCGATATATTATCAAACATGGGCCTTATATCATCTCAGGTGAATATAGAGAAGATGTATCTCAATGAGGAAAAATTTACAATATAATGATGATTATATTTTTTATTAATAGTTCTTCTGCTTACTTATTATTGTTCTTTTTCTTTTTTTTTCATTTCCATTGGACCAAAGATTTCTCGAATTGATGCAAACCAAAAATATAACGATTTGGTCCATATCCACTGGCAATGAGCCTCTAAACGGAGTCATTGGTTGGTTTTTCGTGCATTTCATGAGTTTAGGTTGGACACCACGAAATCAGGTATGTTGTAGAGATCTGGGACGAACACATTGTAATGTTTACTATTGGGAGGGACCGATTTTTTGGGGAAATGAAGACTCTTGCAGAAAACGTAGCACGTAGTGAAAATAAGTATTTGGATAGGATGTCTCGGTTTTTCTAACCTTATTTCAAACCATAAAAAAAACTGTAGAAACTCATATAAGATCTGTAGATCTTCTCATAGAAGATCTGTTGATCTTCTCATAGAAGATCTGTTGATCTTATCATAGAAGATCTGTTGATCTTCTCATAGAAGATCTGTTGATCTTCTCATAGAAGATCTGTAGATCTTCTCATAGAAGATCTCTAGATCTTCTCATAGAAGATCTCTAGATCTTCTCATAGAAGATCTCTAGATCTTCTCATAGAAGATCTCTAGATCTTCTCATAGAAGATCTCTAGATCTTCTCATAGAAGATCTGTAGATCTTCTCATAGAAGATCTGTAGATCTTCTCATAGAAGATCTGTAGATCTTCTCATAGAAGATCTGTAGATCTTCTCATAGAAGATCTGTAGATCTTCTCATAGAAGATCTGTAGATCTTCTCATAGAAGATCTGTAGATCTTCTCATAGAAGATCTGTAGATCTTCTCGTAGAAGATCTGTAGATCTTCTCAGTAGAAGATCTGTTGATCTTCTCATAGAAGATCTGTTGATCTTCTCATAGAAGATCTGTTGATCTTCTCATAGAAGATCTGTTGATCTTCTCATAGAAGATCTGATGATCTTCTCATAGAAGATCTGATGATCTTCTCATAGAAGATCTGATGATCTTCTCATAGAAGATCTGATGATCTTCTCATAGAAGATCTGATGATCTTCTCATAGAAGATCTGATGATCTTCTCATAGAAGATCTGATGATCTTCTCATAGAAGATCTGATGATCTTCTCATAGAAGATCTGATGATCTTCTCATAGAAGATCTGTTGATCTTCTCATAGAAGATCTGTTGATCTTCTCATAGAAGATCTGTTGATCTTCTCATAGAAGATCTGTTGATCTTCTCATAGAAGATCTGTTGATCTTCTCATAGAAGATCTGTTGATCTTCTCATAGAAGATCTCTAGATCTTCTCATAGAAGATCTCTAGATCTTCTCATAGAAGATCTCTAGATCTTCTCATAGAAGATCTGTTGGTCTTCTCATAGAAGATCTGTTGATCTTCTCATAGAAGATCTGTTGATCTTCTCATAAAAGATCTCTAGATCTTCTCATAGAAGATCTCTAGATCTTCTCATAGAAGATCTCTAGATCTTCTCATAGAAGATCTACAAATCTTCTCATAGAAGATCTGTTGATCTTCTCATAGAAGATCTGTTGATCTTCTCATAGAAGATCTGTTGATCTTCTCATAGAAGATCTGTTGATCTTCTCATAGAAGATCTGTTGATCTTCTCATAGAAGATCTGATGATCTTCTCATAGAAGATCTGATGATCTTCTCATAGAAGATCTGATGATCTTCTCATAGAAGATCTGATGATCTTCTCATAGAAGATCAGTTGATCTTCTCATAGAAGATCTGTTGATCTGCTCATAGAAGATCTGTTGATCTTCTCATAGAAGATCTGTTGATCTTCTCATAGAAGATCTGTTGATCTTCTCATAAAAGATCTGTTGATCTTCTCATAGAAGATCTGTTGATCTTCTCATAGAAGATCTGTTGATCTTCTCATAGAAGATCTGTTGCTCTTCTGATAGAAGATCTCTAGATCTTCTCATAGAAGATCTCTAGATCTTCTCATAGAAGATCTCTAGATCTTCTCATAGAAGATCTGTGGATCTTCTCATAGAAGATCTGTGGATCTTCTCATAGAAGATCTGTACATCTTCTCATAGAAGATCTGTACATCTTCTTATAGAAGATCTGTAGATCTTCTCATAGAAGATCTGTACATCTTTTCATATAAGATCTGTAGATCTTCTCACAGAGATCTGTGGATCCTTTCCCATAAATTTGAAAATAGACGATCTGAAGATAATTTCACAGAATATCTGTTTGATTAATTTTCATACCACCCTGTTATACATCACATATATATTCTTCCTATGGATAATTTATCTTTGTCCCAATTACATTTTTTTCACGAGCACTGCAGTTGCTGTTTTTTTTTATTCATGACAATTTTCAATCTTTCATTTCATTTAGGCAATTTATTTGAATGACTACCTCGGTCCGATGCTGAAGAAATCTCAATTCAAAAATGTTTTAATATTTGGCAATGATGATCAGCGGTATACATATCCAACATGGTTCGAAAGGGTATGTTTTCCATGGCAAATTATTTGCAGATGAATTAGTTGAGAAAAATTGATTTACGAAATCAGCCAATAACCCAGATCACCAGATGGTGGTGGAGGAGAAAGAAAACAAAGAGTTTGTTCTTCAATATCTGATTTCGTTACAGATGAATGCCACCATACCCGGTTCACTTACATATTTAGATGGCCTGGCAGTACATTGGTATTGGGATGATATATTTGGTCCCGAACTGATTGACAACACCATGACATCTTTTCCTGATAAACTTCTATTGAATACTGAATCTTGTGTCGGCGATAAGCCATGGCAAACACATGGTCCCGAACTGGGTTCTTGGGAACGTGGCGAACAATATATCAAAGCGTTTTTGCAAGATTTGCAACATAATTTCAATGGCTGGATAGATTGGAATTTGGTGTTGGATGAAAGAGGTGGTCCAAATTATGTAAATAACTTTGTTGATGCACCCATTGTGGTGAATACCACAAGTAAGTGTGGATAAAGTAAAATGACTTCATCCGAATATTAATATGTGTATGCTTTTTTTCAGATTTTTCCGAATTCTATAAACAACCAATGTATTATGGCATTGGTCATTTTTCAAAATTTGTATGGCCCGATTCGAAACGCATTGATGTGAAAGTGTCAAGTCGACAGCGCACAATGGATGCAGTGGGATTTCAACGCAGTGATGGTGTGATTGTTGTTGTCATCTTTAATAGGTAAGTGAAATAATGTTGGGATTGAGTAACTGAAATGGCACGCGACCTTTTGGATTTCTTGACTGAATACCATATCTTGTATTACGTATTCCATAGCGGATACTTGAAACGCTTTGGTGTCTTTTTGCTGACACTTCTGTTGCCTAAATACTTGAAAATTTATGACCTAGTCTTAAGAACTGAACACTTTGGCATTATGTCTGATTTCCATTTAAGTAGTTGGAAAATTTCATATCACTTGAGAACAAGTAATAATTGTTGAAATTTATGGGCATTGTTGTCAAGAATGATAGAGGAGTGGTATGGGAAGTGTGGTGAATAAAAAATGGGAATAAATTAAAAACATGTTAGGAAGTATCAGTCGGGATGTGTAATATTTGAAAGATATCAGACATCCAATAACAATTTTTTTTGGAGTAATTGTTAATTTTTAACCTTTTGTGGTGGAGGTACGATAAGGAGTGAGCCGATAAATTCCACATTCACATTAGATCTCTGATTGAGCAAAATATGTAGATATACCAAGTTGTTTCGCAAGTTATAAGAGATATAAATATTGAAAATTTGTGAACCTTTGTCGAAAAAGTATCAGAAGGGATAGGTGGATGTATATCATCTTCACGTCAGATCTTGTGCTAGTAAAAAATATTGCGATATGTTAAATTTGAAGTGAATCCAATGCTTATTTCATAATTTATGAATGTTATAATTATTCAAAATTTTGTTCCGTTGAGAGGCAGGTATGAGATCCGATATGTACCATTTCACATCAGATCTTGTGTTAGTAGAAATTTTGGAATGTACCATGTTTGAAAATAAACGAATGCTTGTTTCGCGTTTTAAGGACTTTATGGTTATTCAAAAATTTGACCTGTTATGGGGGATGTACCAGAAGTAAAGCATCGATACCTACCATTTTCACATCAGATCTTGTGTTAGTTGAAATATTAGAATGTGTGAAATTTGAGGAGAATTTAATTTAACATTTTTATTATCCACATATAAAATGTCCACCATCTGAGTTGAATAAACAATCCACAGTTATGGATCAAAAACATATCCCTATTTTTACATGGATATCGATAAAGGAGGATGAATAAATTATCTACAAACGTGGATAATATACTTTTGCAAGTTTGTGGATAAATAAATTATTATTATCCACTGCCGTGGAGAAAAAATGTAAAATTGTCCAAAAATGTGGATTAATAAATTATCCACAATTATGCGTGGATTAATAGAATACACAGGGTGAAATGAAAAAAAAAAAATGCAACCAACTTCAAACTGCTGACATTTCGAAGCCACTCGTCCGACAGCTGTTAAAATTATTCCAGTGACAGCTCATTATATTGTTTATAAGCGTACAAAAGCATTTTGCTGCGAATTTTCCAGAAAAAAAGTTATTCGTGATGGAATTCAAGCGTGATAGAGTGATTTCTTTATATTTGACTGGAGAACCACAAGTGGGTATGGTTAGAGCACTCTATCATTTAAATGTGAATAAATCTGTTGTGTCTCGTACCATCGCTCGTTACCGTGATACTGGTAGCGTAGCCAGACGTCAAGGAAATGGACGAAAGAAAACAGCAACATCAGCAGAAATGGTTTGAAAAGTAAAGAACCGACTTGATCGAAACCCATGTCTCAGTGAGCCAAAAATGGCTCGTGAGCTGAACATATCGCAATATTCTATTTGGCAAATATTGAAAATGAGGTCGGAGTAAAGCCATTGAAATTCCAAAAAAATGCAAGAACTTGCACCGCAACAGAAAGAAAATAGACTCAAAGGAGTTAAAGAGTTGCTTCGCTTGGCCATAAGTGATGAACTGCCGAATTTGGTTTTCTCCGATGAGAAAACATTCGTTGTCCAGCAGTTTGTAAACAACAAAATAATCGTGTTTACTTGTCGAAGAGGTCACCTGAAAATGTTCACCTTCGATTGACCACCAGAACTCAAGCACCGGCCATGGTGATGGTGTGGGCCGCCATAACAGCCGATGTTCGCTCTCCGCTCGTATTAATCGACCGTGGTATCAGAATTCTGGAGGGAACGCAGACATTTTGGCCGCAGACCTGAACGCAACCCCCAGGAATGGTTACAAAATAAGGTTACTCGCTTCATTTCCATAGCACAATGGCCACCAAAATCTCCGAATACCAATCCGTTGGACTATCGTGTCTGGAGTATTTTGGAAAGCAAGGTTGGCACTAAAAAATACCAAAGTGTCGATCACCTCAAGCAAGCGCTTCGCCGGGAATGGGTCAAAATACCACAAAGCAACATTCGGGCAGCGTGTGACGGTTTCATTGGCCGTTTGAAGGCAATAACTCGAACCAAAGGTGACCAATTCGAACAAATCTGAACTTATTCTAAAATGTGATGCTATTTTCGAAATTTTTTTGCTTTCACTCCATAAAATTTAAAAACAAACCAGTAAAGAAAGTCTTAAAGTCGGGCGGGGCCGACTTTATGATACCCTACACCACTTTGCTAATTAAGTAGAGCTCCACATAATAATTAAAAGTTTTTATGGGAGAATTCAATCATACACGCTATGATAGTAATTATAATTTAAAGTTCAAAGGACTTAATATGCCGAAGCATTTGTATCTTTTAAATTCGGACTTGTATTGCCCATTTGGTGCACAATTGATTTGAAATCGGATAAAGATATATATGGGAGCTATATCCAAATCTCAACCGATCTCGATAAAATTTGGCAAAGATATTTCTGAGCTGTATTTGATATATTTCCCTGAATATCGTTGTTACGGAGTGCATATTACGGCTGTGGGTAACAATTATAACAAATCGGATGAATAATATATATGGAAGCTATAGCTATATCTGAACCGATCTTCACCAAATTTGACATACTAGCTTCTAGACTCAATTCGGTCGTAAATGCCAAATTTCATCCCATTTGGACAAATATTAGACGTTTGGTGCACAATAAAAGGTAAATCGGACGAAGTTATATATGGGAGCTATATCTAAATCTGAACCGATCTCGATTAAATTTAGCAAATGTATTTCTGAGCTGTATTTGATATATTTCCCCAAACATAGTTGTTGCATAGTGCACATTACGGCGGCGGTGGACAAAAATAACAAATCGGATGAACAATATATATGGGAGCTATAGCTATATCTGAACCGATTTCGGCCTAATTTGGGTGCATAAGCAAAATTCCATACAATTCGGGCTGATATTACATATTTGGTGCACAATAAAAGGCAAATCAGACGAAGATATATATGGGAGCTATATCTAAATTTTGACCGATTATCTCTAATTTAAATAGGGTTCGTCCTTGGGCCAAACAAAAGATCTTTGCAAAATTTCATCTGGATCGGGCAATAAATGCGACCTGTACTTTGTTTACAAAAATACATGGACAGACGGACGGACGGACGGACAGACGGACGGACGGACATGCATAAATCGACTCAGAATGTGATTCTATGCAGATCATCAAAAGGAACTATGGGTCTATTTCGTTTCCTTCTGCCTGTTACAAACAAATGCACAAAGACATAATACCCTGACCACCTTGTGGTGTAGGGTATAAAAATGTAAAAATGATGGTGTTTGACTTTGTTGCAGTTTTTTTACCTCACCTTGTATATCAAAGCGCAAAACTTGGATATATCAATTATAGACAAATGCGGTTAAATAACTAATTCACAAATTTGTATTTATCCACATAATTATTTTGATTAACAATTATCCAATTATCAATTATTAAATAAATTAAACACAAATATGGATGAACAAATTAGCCATTCATTGTGTGCGGGAATAATTAATAAATGTATGTCAATTGTGAAAACAATTCTTAGCCCCACACTACTCGTTTAGACATTTTCTCGCATTCTACTCACACACTTATTATCCGATCCTCGTTAAATCAATAACTGTCTCTCCCTGCCATGGCATGTCTTCGGAAAATCTCAACTGAATATTGTTAATAGTTTTATGTTTTATTTTCCCGGCTGATACACTTGAGAGCAATCAATGTGAGTGCATCTGTTGTTTTGGAGACATTAACAACAATGTTTTGAAATAAATGCATGTACACACAGACACACACCAGAGATACAAAGTATTGAATTAATGTAATTTAATTTTGTTTTTTCTTTTCAGTGCATCTATTCCCCAGGATATTACCCTGAATGATAGCATTCGCGGCACCATCAATGTTAGTGTACCCCCTCGATCTATTCATACAATGTTGTTTAAGTGAGGATGTTGGATTATGAACTGAGAATGCAGATGGTTGGAGAGATTTTCGCTCAAAGATTTGAGTGGAGTTTTGGAGAAGTTGTTTAAAAATAATAATTCAAATAAGTTATGTGATGTGTTAAGATTTTCAGAAGGGAACTCAAAATACAGAAACAGCAAAATGAAAAAAAAAAGATTTTTTTTTTATTTATGTAAACATAAAAATATATTTAATGTATAAAAAAAAAACAAGTAAGCAAAGACTATGGTCTTGCGGGGCCGACCATGTGATACCCCACAACACTACAATATGTTAGAAGCCCCCTTATATTCAACTCCGTTTTGGAAGATTTCGCTTTTGAAATTATGTCACGGAGCACTGCCCAGATATTACCCTTAGCATTTTGATCAGGGTCATTTGGCCAATATTTGCGCACTCCGTCGTGCTGTTAGTAGTTGTGGTCCATTTTACAGGTAAATATAATCCAATGATCATCCAAAATTCTAGAATTCTTCCCTGTCCTTAAGTCTCTTCTCAGACGTGTCGTTTGGTTTCAATTGTGTGATCAGGAAATTTTTTCTGTTTTTGTTTCATTTGAACCCCGAAATATTTTGCGATCATCTTCAAACGCAAGAGGCTACTCTGTATCTCCAAATTTAGACTCATCTATATGACATGCTTGTCTACGATATTTGGCTATATTCTTCAATGAAATCAGCATAAACAAGTAAAAAAGCTATAAGTTCGGCCGGGCCGAACTTTGAATACCCTCCACCATTTGTCAATTTTCAAAGAAAAAAAAAAAATATATATATATATATATATATCGGAATTCTTTCAAGTTTGGTATTTGAAGTTAGTAATAGATACTACAGCCTGTGACAAAAAATTATCTGTGCAGGTCCACGTTTTACAACTCCCATGGTTCCTCCCTATTTTCGGAATTCGGAATTTTTTTTCGGAATTTTGATGATTTTAGCTACATTATATATATATATATATATATATATATATATATATATATATATATATATATATATATATATATATATATATATGTATGTATATATGTATATATATATATATATATATATATATATATAATATATATATATATATATATATATATATATATATATATATATATATATATATATATATATATATATATATATATATATATATATATATATATATATATATATATATATATATATATATATATATATATATTATATATATATATATATATATATATATATATATATATATATATATATATATATATATATATATATATATATATACTTGTCAAAGGCTGTAGTATCTATTACGAACTTCAAACACCAAATTTGAAAGAATTCCGGTAAATAATGCCGCTAAAATCACCAGAATACCGAATATCGGGGGTACCGTTATATGGGGGCTATACAAAGAAGTGGGCCTACGTGGCCCATTTTCTGTTTTACGCTGTAGTGTCTATTACGAACTTCAAATACCAAATTTGGAACAATTCCGGTAAATAATGTTGCTGAGATCATCAAAATACTGAATATCGGGGGGTACCGATATATGGGGGCTATACGAAGAAGTGGACCTACTTGGCCCATTTTCTGTTTTATGTTGTAGTGTCTACTACGAACTTCAAATACCAAATTTGAAACAATTCCGGTAAATAATGTCGCTAAAATCATCAAAATACTGAATATCGGTGGGTACCGTTATATGGGGTCTATTAAAAGATGTGGACCTACATGGCACATTTTCAATACCAAAAGTCCTGCAGACATAATACATAAGCTAGAGTGATTTCCACAGACGGACAGACGGGCGGACATTGATAAATCGACATAGAATTTTATACTTTGTGGGGTCTAAAATTTCGAGGTGTTACAAACGGAATGACAAACTTAATATACCCTCCATACTATGGTGGAGGGTATAAAGAGCCAGAAGTTCGCCTTTTGTGTATTTCTCATATCGCCTATAAGTAATGTTGGTATTTTTTCACAAAAAAATAGTGGTACATTCTACCCGCTGTCCTAATCTCTAACTCCATGCGAGATTTCGTGTCCTTTGCTTTCAATTTGTGACCTTGGAAAATCAGGAACATTTTTAGTTGTTGGTCCATTCCAACCCCTAAATATATTGCGGACATCTTTGAAAACAGTAGGCATAGCCCTTCTGAGCCTAACCTTACCCTTGGGAAAATTTTCGTGAGGATCGGACGATAATTGCAATCTGTTTATAATAACCCTAACCTGTGTTGTAAGGTGAAAAAATATTGCAAAATATACACTTCAATATTATAAGTCAAATTGAAAAAATCGCATGCGATAAAAAATATGAAAATATAAAAAAATGTCACAAAATACTACAAAATCTATAAAAACATCATTATTAACATCTTTTTATGATTTTATACTTTTATGCCAAGAAGGCATTCTGAATTGACAAAATTTGTCAAAATCGGTCCAGCCATTTTTGAGATATAACCATTCTAGCTAACATCCCCTTCGTTTGTATATATACATTGTATATATTTCGCTATATATATCCGATATATTTTTCAGTTTTTGGTTCATTTTAACCCCTAAATATTATGCGACCAAAAGCAATAGGCTTCTATTTTGGCCCTAGCCCCACCTCCATTCTAAATTTCGTGAAGATCAATATTTCTACAAGATCTGTTATAAAGATGATAGAGAACATTTCTTCTGGCACCACTCCCACATATGGTTTAAGATTTTAAAAAACAAAACGCTCAAAGAAAGCGAAATAAGCATCCAACTTTCTTCAAATTTCATACATACAAACATTTTTGCTAACACAAGATCTGCTGTGAAGATGATATACAGGGTGAGATAAAAAAAACTGCAACAAAGTCGGAAATAACAACAAATTCTAGAATAAGTTTAGATTTGTTCGAATTGCTCACCTTTAGTATTTTTTAGCGCCAACCTTACTCCAGACACAATAGTCCAACGGATTGGTATCCGCAGATTTTGGTGGTCATTGTGCGCTGGAATTGAAGCGAGAAACCTCATTTTGTAACCATTCTTGGGTGGCGTGTGCTGAGTGCAATGGTGCTGAGTCCTGTTGGAAAGTCTAAGGTGTGCGGCCCAGAATGTTTGCGAGCCCAAGGCTTTAATACACCCGTCAGAATTTTTTCGCGATAATATTCGGCATTTATTCTGATGCCACGGTCGATTAATACGAGCTGACTTCTTTGGCAAGTAAACACGATCATTTTGTTTGCTTCCAAACTGCTAGGCAACGAATGTTTTCTCATCGGAGAAAACCAAATTCGGCAGTGTACCACTTTCGGCCAACCACTTTCGAAGCAATTCTTAGGTCTTTTGAGGTTTTACCCCGAGCTCATTTTCCAATATTTACCGAATGGAATATTGCGATATGTTCAGCTCACGAGCCATTTTTCGTCCACCACGACGCGGGTTTCGATCAAGTCGCTACTTTACTTTTCGAACCATTTTTGCTGATGTTGCGGTTTTCTTCCGTCCACTTCATTGACGTCGAGCTACGCTACCAGTATCACGGTAACGAGCGATAGTACGAGACACAAAAGATTTATTCACATTTAAATGCTGCAGTGCTCTAACGACAGCCACTCTATCACGCCTGAATTCCATCACGAATAACTTTTTTTCTGGAAAATTCTCACCAAAATGTTTTTGTACGCTAGTAAACAATACAATGAGCTGTCACTGAAATAATTTTAACAGCTTTCAGGCGAGTGGCTTAGAAATGACAACAGACTGAAGTTGGTTGCAGTTTTTTCATCTCAACCTGTATATCTCTCAACCAGGAACCTGAGATGAACATGGAATTTATGATTTCGCATAAAATTGGATATAAATTTTAGATTTTCTTTGCCCATACCAATTGTTTCCTCCGAGAACCCACTCCATAGAGGGCCAACAATTTGAATAATCATAACAGAAGTTAAGTTTTTATTAGAAGTCAAAAAATATTTAAATAATTGAACATTAGCTGAGGGTATAAATCCGCCGGCAAAACCTACTGATACTTTTTAACTTTTTTATTTTGAAACCGGTTAATATCCTATTTATTATTTATGTGGACTTTATTATTTATGTGGAAGTAATGTATTAATAACTTCATTTTCTTAAATATCCATTTGAATGATGGACGAATAAAATTGGCTTGGCTTAATTTAAATTCCAAAATATGTGGCCATACGCAACAGAGAAATTTATTTGATGGTGTTTGCACAATTGACATCATTTGTAAAAAAGAAAACATAATTCGGCAATAAAATGCACGCATCCATAAAAATATGAGGATGCATTCAAGTTTTAAAAATAAATTCTTTTTAAAATAAAAACGACAAGAAAATATTTGAAATTATCAAATAAATAAAGAACAATTTTAAAATGCATATGCATATAAAGAAATACATATCATTTCAGGCCAAGTGTTTGAAATGAAGGACGCGACTAAGTGCTTCGTCAGATCTTTAGAAAATACAAAAAAAAAAAAAAAAAAAAATCCGACGACACCAACCAAGAAAAACTTGTTCTGCATTATTAAATCTTTTAAATTTATTAAACATTTTTCATAATTTCGTTACACACGACTGACAGTTGTCACTCAAGTTAATCCTTCGTGTATTTATGACATTTTCCATTCAGTTCATCCAGTCGATGTCGGATCATCACAACGCCCGGAGTGTATCGCTCACATCGAGTGGATGTATTCGAATCAAGAGAATGTATTAAAAACAACAACAACAACTGCTGCTGCTTACACTTCGTACATAAGGCGACACTTTTTCCGCCCAAACTCATTCGACGATGGTGTTGATAAAATGATATGCTTAAGTGAAATTTCATTGTAAACACATGAAATTTATTTACATAGCGGCACTCATTATGGGAAATAGGAAGTTCATAAGGGATCGGGAAGCAGGGATTATGAAAAATGAAGTTAAATTTCTCCTATTGATTGAAAGTATCTAAAGGACGTCGTTATATTGAACAAAGATACATAACGAGTAAAACGAGGGTTTCACTGTCTAGTAAACGAGAGAATTAACTACAGGAACAATTGAGCGATTATCGACATTTCAAAAATATACATCGAACGTAACCCAAAACAAGTAAGCAAAGGCTATAGTCGTGCG